CTCACCAAGCGGCGGAATGAGGTTGGAGTTCTTCTCTTTTCCCTCCGAACCTCCGGCTGTAGGAGCGGGGACTTTTCGTTCACCCGACTCCTCTTCCTCCTGTCCGGAGGCAAGTGCAGGCACGCCTGTCTTTTCCACGGCCAGGAACTTTGCCTGCCTAGCGTTGGGAAACTGAACACTTCTCTTGCCATTCCGACCTGTCTGGTCCTCCGAAAGGCTACCTGAATCGCCCCCGTGGGCAGAAGACTTCGTTTTATCCTTCTTTTTGGGCATAACGCCGAAAGAAAATCCGAAAAAATAAGGAGTAGGGAAACAACGTGCACCCCTTCGCGTTCGCACAAGGAAAATGGCGGCGAACATTGTCATTACGTCATGATATCCCGTGATGCTTTGCGATTAAAGCTTTGTACACGTGCGCCACCTAGCGATAAGCATAGGAAATACTGCATAAGGTAAATGATATACCCAAATAGGGAGTGTGCAGGTATAATTACTTGCTGTGGCCTTATAGTAGATTTTTATACTGAAGTGAGACAGAATGCAGTTTATAGTAGAAGGGTTTCAAATCCCTCAAGCTAACTGACAGCTCGCACACGCAGTCGTCCCTCAGTAAGACATTTGGGGCCACCTAGTTCCCGTTTAGAACTTTTATTTAGCCTGTCACACAGCCGTTTTCACCTGTGTGGTTTCTTCAAGTGTACAGAGGCTAAATGACACAAGTCCATGAAGAACCATCTGACTTGAGTCTCTGAAGGGAGACGGGATGGTTTAGCAGACTTACCTCACATCCCATCCTGAGTTTGAAGCCCTGCTCTTCACGAGACAGCCCACCAATCACAGCCACCGTTCTGATGCCCAGCCGCCGCCCAAACTTCAGCGTCTCCTCCTCGATCTGCTGGGCCAGCTCGCGGGTCGGAGCCAGGATGATCGCGTACGGTCCCTGGTCTGCGTCCTCGTTCCGCACGATCTTGGGGAGGGACTCGATCCAGATGAGCAGCGGGATGAGGAAGGCGAGCGTCTTTCCGCTGCCCGTCTCCGCCACGCCGATGATGTCACGGTTCTGTAGACCAATGGGAATAGCCTGTCTCTGGATCGGGGTCGGTTCCTAACAACAACAGGAAAGTTATCATGAAAGTTCATCTGTGTCGGTAAGTTGATGAAGGTTAGACATCCAGGTAAACAATACTCATAGGAAATTCAAACTCTACTACTGGATAAATTACGGAGATAATATCCGGACGTTTCTGTCGAGAAACAGGAAACACAACATTTTTACCACCATGAAAAATGGAGGTATGGTTTTTGACGCGTCTGTGTGTCTGTCTGTGTGTCTGTCTGTGTGTCTGTCTGTGTGTGTGTTTGTGTTTCCGCACATTTGTAGTCAGCATAACTTCAGAACGCCTTCATGGATTGTGATGATATTTGGTATGCTGGTAGGTCTTAGGAAGCTGAAGATCAAGGTCAAATATGGGCCTCCTGGTGCAGACCTTGGTATTGCAGCAGGACTTTTGTATTTTGAGGGAGAACAGATGTGCAGGTTAAAGACTTCCTCTAATGCAAAACACGTGTGGTCAAGCAGCTCCCTCGGGAATAGACTACATGTACTGAGTTGACAGCCTGACCTATTTTAGGACAAAAACCTGTGTTAATTTGTTCTGTACTGTAGTGTAGTGTACCGTGTAAAAACATTTACAAAAACTCATATATTTCATGGAGGTTTGAGATCTCCGAATTCTTGTTTTCCTAGGCTTAACCATAGCAGACCCCCCCCACCTTGTAGCCGAGGTCCTTTATGATGTTGTTGATCTCCTCCGTTAGCGAGGCCTCCTTCCATGTGCGTAGCGGATTGGGGATGCGCCCGCCCTTCGTCGTGATGCTGTAGTCCTCGCGGAAGATTCGCCAGTCTCTCTCGATCATCTCCTCCAGGGACTTCTGGGTCCAGTGGCGGTCGTCCCACTTCTGTTTCTGTTCCTTCTGTTTCACCTTGTTCAGCCGCTTGCTGCAGAAATGTATCAAATTTACAAATATCCATCTGCAGTCTTTTGCAGACATTTTCAATATTGCAGAAGAAAAATAAAGCAACCTGCAATTTCGCAGACTGCAAAAATCAGAGCCTTTGTCTTGTCTCCTCTCTTTATTATATTTATCTGCCATCCACATTCCGGCATGGCAACAGACATCTGTGCCCATTTTTGGCATGTTGATCACTGTCAGAGGGCAACAAAATTTCTTTCTTTTTTTTTTCAAAAATCAGGTAAAAATTAATGTTCATGTCATCCACAGAAATGACTTGATTTGGCCTAATACTAGTAACAGAAGTGAATGAAGATGAAAATATTACATTTCCTGATCCTTCTCCTCCTTGGTTCTTCTCTGCTCCATCAGTTCTCCGTAGAACTTGGACTGGTCCTTGATCTGGGCCTGTAAGATAAGTAACGTCCTGTCAGGATGATTCCAGCAGTGGCACTTCAGGGCTCGAAATACTGGGCAGTGTTCAAAATACCTGTCTGCAGTCTGCAATCTGCAGATAGATTTTCAAGATTGCAGAAGAAAAATTTATACAATCTGCAATTTTGCAGCAGGAAAAATTGGCACTGTTCTGAAACAACAGGAGCTTCTTCACTAATTTACATCAACCTTGTCTTGATTTGTCTATCTTTTGTTTCCTTTTGGACTTCCAACAATTTGTCTTCACTAATTTGCATATCAATCAATAGTTCATGCTTTATAGTTATAAACCTGCAAGATTGTAGTATAGAGGCTTGTGTATTTGCAGAAAGTATTTCCAGATTGCAGAACAAAATTTTGACTCTTCTGCAATATTGCAGAGCACTGGAAAAAAGTATTTTGACCACTGCTGGGTGTATGTGCACCTTAGTGCACCTAAATTTGGAGCTGTGCACCCAATTTTCTTCTATTGGTGCACCAGTGCACCCAAATATTTTCATAGGTTTAACGTAAGTAAAGATGTTAAATGTATACTTATTATACTATATATATACTATATACAAGCATTTTCCTAAATTCAGAAAAATAAGTGTCAGAAAATAATAAAGTAATTGTAAGTACTTTTCTGTAGAAATGAAACATAATTAGTTATTGCTAACATTCTATTTATTTCATTTTACATGGTGCACCCCAAAAATTTTTGTGCACGCAATTTTTTTACGTTGGATGCACCAGTGCACCTATTCCCAAAAATGAATTTCAAGCCCTACACTTTTTTTACTGAAAACTATTTACCGACATTCAGAACTTTAACAGATGAGGTAAAATTGAAACCAAGTAAACTACATTCAGCAATTAAGTGCTCAGTACATACCTTGAGGTCTATACCTGCAATGTGACCTCTACCAAACATCTGAACACAGTGTCTTTCCTTATACCTGAGAGGAAAAACAAAACAGTGAGTCAAATTATTGTGTTTTCTATATCCTTCTGTTTTTATTGTGTCCCTGTTTGGAATATGGCTTCAAAAAAGCCAAAAATTCTCAACTTGGTATTTAATTTGGATGGCATTCAGTGATGTTTGTAAACAGGTCAAATACCCCTTCATGTGCAAGTTGATGCATGTAAATTTGGTCATTAGCATGACTACAGTGGATACTATTATAATAGTTACTACTTTTGGTTGTGTAACGTTAGCTCTTATTTTTTGGGGGTGCAAGTATCTTTTTTTGGTGCAAGTAAAAATTTTTTCATCTATAAGTGGACCCGAAAATGTATTTCGTTCCCTGTAAACTTACTTACCCAAAATTTGTCTGCCTGGAAACGTACATTGGGGAAACAGAGAGGTCTCTAAAAGCCAGGTTTCAAAACATACACGGCCTAGCTCTGCCAGTTCAGAGGTGTCTCAACACATTCACATAGAGTCGCCAGGACATTTTGTTTCACTTGACACTGTAAAGATTTTAGACACTGAACAAGACTATTTCTTGAGAGGGGTGAAGGAAGCCATATACATCAGGGCCCATCACCCTTCACTGAACCGCGACGGGGGCCGACATCGTCTACCAGATACCTTTGACCCAGTGTTGACGTCACACTTCAAAGAAGCCACGTGACAAGCTTCACTGGGTCAGTCTACTGAGGAGGACCAGAGTTACTGGTTGAAAGCTCTAGGTGAGAGAATTTTTCGTGTTGGACCAAAAGTTTCAACTTTAAACTTGTCTGAGTAAACTTACACATCAAAATTTGTCTGAGCCTCTCAAATAATAATCATTGGAAAACAGCTTTATCAACACTCGCTGTTTTGCTCAGAGTAAGAAATTCCCTTAGGTTTTGTTGCAATGAAACAACATGATGTTTGTTGTTGTGTTACGGCATACTTACAGTGGATTGTAGTCCACAGAAGTGTCCTCGTCGGCCGCCCAGTCAAACACAAACTTACGGTCGTTCAGTCTGCGGACACGTCTCTTCTTCTTGATGATGCCAAGGTATCTTTCCTGAACAACACATTTGGAGTTTAGGAATTCAAAACTGCAGAATTGAGTACAAGTTAGACAAACTCAAAGAAGCTCGTTTTTACACAACCAAGTGTTTTTATTTTTCGTTGACTGTTTGTCACCTTCCTTGTAGCAATTCTGACTGGTTCACATTGCACTGCAGCACAGGTGTCACTGCTATAGATGCATTCCCAACTACTAAGTACCTAATACCAGCCCAGAAGAGAACAAGAAATAGCCATGCCTTCAAGTACCAGAGTTATCAACCAAGGATTGAGGTGTTCAAGAATTCATTCTTTCCTAGAACTTATCGCAGAGTGGAACTCGCTGTCACCAAGTACAGTAGGGGCATTGTCAATAGATAGCTTTAAACAAAGTCTAGAGCTAGAAGTTCAAGGGTTTAGGTGTAACAAGTCGATCGGTGTAATATAGCCAGCCGCCGCCACGCCGCGTGCCTGCGAAGCTGGTGTGTTACGCTGAAAGGCGGTTATACCAGCTATACAGATACAGATACATGTAAACTTGCACAGTTACAGGAAACTGTATCTACAATGCAGTCCCAAACATACAAGAGTTGGATATAATATTATACACAATTGTGGGCTGTTGTTAAAAAAACAAACTGCAGTCACAGAGAACAGACCCACTCCTAACCATGGTTGGAGACTCCTAACCACTTTTGTGAATGTGTGACAGGGGCTTTAGTGATCATTAGTGCTGTGTACCTAAACCCACATTTAGTTTCAGGTCCGGATTCAAGTCCAGAGGTTTAGGTTCAGTTCTGGACTCGTAAGTCTGGACCTAAACCCATGGCATAATACAAAATTGCATGTTGACAACCTTGCAATGTCGTATGGGCAAAACTTTGGCCACATAACATGGAGGCTGGTACTTGACGATGCCCGATGGCAATGTTTTCTTCATTTTGCAGCACAATTTTTGCAATCTATGGAAGGTTTTAGGTGATTTGAAAAGAAATGGGGTATGTGATATGTTGTTTTTTTTGTAATAAGTTCGGAATCAGTTCTTGACCTTTAGGTTTTTTGGACTAAACATTTTTACAAGTCCAGAACCGGTCCAGCGAACTGGTACACAGCACTAGTGATCATAAAAAAAAATTTTAACAGCTCTCAGTCAGTCAGTGGCCAATGTGCAGATATTCTAGGGTGTTTTTGGCACCCAGTTAGACAGATTAGCCTAAGAGGCTCGGTGGGCGTCACCATATAGTTGGAGAAGTTGTGTGAAGTGCCTTTCCCAAGGGCACAACGTCGGGCCACGGTGAGTATCGAACCCAGGACCTCTCAGTTCTGAGTCCAACGCTCTGACCATTGCGCCATCGATGCCACTAGTGATCATACATCAGTCCAACCTCAGGCCAAGGAAAAAAAATGTTGTGTTTCCTGTTTCACTCCTGAAAAAATTAGGGTTGGTAGGTAGGGATAATTTTATTTTATTTTTATCTTTTTTTTTTTTTAGAACCTGGTGATTGGTGTGTGTATAGCAGAACTGGAATGACGAGCACATTTATCGGGGAAATATTGAAATAAATCCCTAATTTTGAAAAGCAACGTTGGAAAAAATAGGGCGTCTTTGGGGCGTCCTGCAAAAAAGTAGGGCACCCAGTACAGGGCGTCCAAAAGACGCCCGGATGCCCCCCTAGCTAAGCCTGGTCCTGAGCGCACTGTTACACAGCAATCATTTTGGCAATATGCAGGGTCGATCGGGAAACAGGAAACACAACATTTATTTTTATAGGCCTCACCTTGATAGCGTTAATCTCTTTCTCCTTGTCCTTTTCCTCCCGGACTTTGGAGCGTTCTCCGCCTTCTGTCTCCTCCTCCCCGCGCTCACCACGGTCCCCGCGCTCACGCCGCTCCCTGCGTTCACGCCGCTCACGTTCGTAAGAGTCATCTACAGAAACAGTTGGACAAAAAATTCAATTTTGGGAATAGGTGCACCATTTTTGGTACACCATATAAAACAAAATAAGCAAAAACTATCCATGTTTCATTTCTAAAGAAAAGTACTACAACAATGATTTTATTACTTTTCTGACACTTAGATGTTAAGAATATGCTATATTACATTACCTGTATACTATTATACATTTAACATTGTGACATTGTTAACCTATGGAAATGTTTGAGTGCACAAAAAATTGGGTTTACAGCTCCAAATTTGGGTGTACTATGATGTACATGCACCCAGCAGTATTTTGAGCCCTGGCATGTGATATAACAAATACATCATGTTTCCTCTGTTTAAAAGATTGCCTAAGAAGTAAGATGAACTATTTGTATTTTTATGTTTACCGAAGGAAAACATATTGTTTTTGCTCAGTTTCCTCCTCTTATTCTTCTCCAAACAGTGACCTATGACCTGGCCAATGACATAATGTGTTGACGTCTGTCACCGTGGTAATTGGGGTTGGGTTACATCATGTTGCAATTTTATAGTAGTAGGGATTTAGACTCGTACTCCTGTCACCAATGATACATGAATGTGTTTGAGTAAGAATTAGCAGACCATATGCGAAGGTAGACATTATGCATTTGCTTTGCAAATGTTACTTTTCTAGTAACACATTATAATACAAAAGTACTACAGAAAGTTATGACTCATATGAGCACTAAGCTCCAACGCTAGCTCCAAGGCCCCTTACCCATGGACTTCTGTCCCTGATGAATGAAGTCCATGCGTTTCTTCCTCTCCTCCTCCTGCACCTGTCGTTGTTGTGCTACTGCTTCCTGTCTGCGCTTCACGGCCAGCGCCGCTCGGTCTTCCTTACTCAGGAACTTGGGCTGAAATTCAGACAGAGAGGCTTTACAAAACACTTGTAGCAAATCCAGGGCAACAAATACATTCATGCAATATAACATTTTTTTCAAAACATTTTTGAGATGAGAAATCACATACAATGTATTAGTGCTAAGGCCTAGGAAAATGTGCTGCATTTCCTGTTTCCCGACCAATCCCTAGAAAAAAATTGCCGACCCTAGACTTTTTTTGGGTGTGTAAGAAAAGGGACATAAAACTTTCGAGCTGATTGACCTTTCCTTAATTCTAGCTCCGTGATCTGAGACCCTAAAGATGAAAAACTGTACAAGCAGGACTCCAACATTGACTTTGACATACAACTTTTACTTCATTAAACTGTATTGTACAAGTTGCATCACTAGAGACTGCCAATGTCAACTGCAAAATAAAAAAGATAATCCCTACCTACCGACTTCTTTCAGGACTGAAACAGGACACACAACATTTTTTCCTAGGCCTAAAAACTTAATTGGTCAAGCATTCTTGACGCAACAGAAATTACTTTTTTGCTCTTAGTACTTTTCAAATTCAATGCTTGTACATGTATTATATCACCATGATATGTATTAGAACTTTAGAAGACATAAAAAATCCAAGTGCCTTACTTTAGACAAGGCTTCCTCCTCTGCCTTCCTCCGAGCTAGCAGCTCCTCAAGAGACAAGGGTTCTTTCTTCACCTTGTCTTCTTCATCTTCTTCTGGGTCTTTCTTCACATGTACAGTGCTGCAGTGATAGTAGTGAGTGAAATACTGCTTGAAACATATGATAGGAAAAAACTCACATGTTACAGACAAGAGAAAAAATACAGGCATATTTCTTTTTTCAATGAATTTCTTCCAATTTAGACATAAGGAGACATTTGTTTTACAAATGTATTGTTTTCAATGTTATGTTAGTGCATTTACTGATTTAGTCAAACCCTTACCTGAAATGCTTCTTTATGCATACTAACTTTTGCAATAAAGTTCCTACTCACAACATCACTTTACTCATTACCATATTCATTCACATTCATCAGCAAAAATTCTACCAGTAAATAAATGAGTAATTGAACAAAATAGTAGTACTTATAGTAGTACAATGTACTTGAATTTTACCTGCCATACCGCAACTCAAAAAACTGCATGAAAATACTGAGAATCAGACATTGAAAATGAAACAAATGGAAACTCACTCTTTCTTCTCCCGAGAAGACTTGGAGGAACGATGCGGTGACCTGGAACAGTGGAAACACATTTAGATTGCAGACTATTGGAAAGTGTCTGGGTTTTTTACTTCCGGGGGAGGAGACATCCTTCCCCCGAAGGGTTTTGTGAGAGATTTAGATTTTCATGTTCGCAGCTGTTTCTCGCGTTTGGGTGGACGGATTTTTTTGGGACTCGGTATAGGTTTTGCTATTGGGCTGTAGATGATGCACGTTCTTTTGTTTTTATTGTATATGTGTTTTCGGGCGTGAAAATGGTGCCTTTTGGTGGTCCCAGAACACCCTTTGAGCGTGAAAATGGTCGCGACCGTTGACCTTTGGCATGTTTAAGCTATTCACTGTCTGGTCCACGCATATGACCCCTCGCAAAGAGGGGTGTCCGGTCTTTATAAATTCTTTGTTTAAACCCCTAGTCCTGCGGCGCGCAACAATTGTTGTTGTGCACATGCATCTTCTCTAACACATAAAATTCAACACCATCAACTATACATAACAAATTATATAAAAATAAACAATAAAAAGCCCGGAGGCATAAAATCTCAGATTTTACTTGTTACATAAATGTGAATTGTGGACTAGCAAATTTTATACTATTACAAAACAAGCTGAAACATACCTGGAGCGAGCTCTTTTCTTGTCTCGGCGCTCTCGAGATCTGGATCTCTTCCTGTCACGATCGCGGGAGCGAGATCTCTTCCGTTCTCTGGATCTTGACCTCTTGCGTTCTTTCCGGTCAGGAGAGCGAGATCTCTTTTTATCGCGATCACGAGACCGTGATCTCTTCTTCTCCCTAAAGCGGGAAAACAGGCAAATGACAACCATGAAAAATATGTTGGACAAAATTTATTTAATGTTTGCAGGCTTGTAAAGGGGCCTGCATGCCCAGGGTTGGACAAGTTTTCAAAAATCCTCTTGCCCTATCGGGCAAGTAGTACATGGTCATTTCCACTTGCCCGAACCAACTTTTCACTTGCCCAAAATTTACATGACATTTTTATGCATTTTACTACCAGCATCTTATTTTAGAGATTATAACGATGCATGCTTATTATTTAATATTTATCAAAATAATGTGGTTTGAGACTTGCAATAGATTTTCTGACAAAAGGACATTAATATTATATCAATTTGGCAAAATGAAGAGTAATTTTGTTCCAAACACCATAGCAGCTATACTTTGCATCCAAAAAATTTACTTGCCCAATCGGGCAAGTACAGGGGGATATTCACTTGCCCGAACAGTGCTTTTACTTGCCCTGGGCAAGTGGGCAATGGGACTTGTCCAACCCTGATGCCCTTTTTCTTAAGGCGTAATCTGGCCTTTTTAGCTTCGTAATCCATAGGCAGCCTCCCCCAAAATCAACGTAATTCGTACATTAGCCGCAAAGCGTGAAGTCGTAATTAGCTCTGAGACTTTAACATTATTCGTAATCGGCGGCGAAAATTTTGCGTAATTCGTAATCACTACCCCCATGCAGCCCCTCACATATATTCTTCAAGCAGAGGTTTGGGTTTTGGGGGTATTCTTAGCGTGTTTTTAGGCTTTTTTATTGGGGTTTCTCTTTTGCACTGAAATTTTTTTCCCACCAAAAAAATTGGGTTTAGTGGGAAAAAAAAATTCAGTGCAAAAGAGAAACCCATAAAAAAAAGCCTAAAAACACGCTAAAAATACCCCCAAAACCAAACCTCTGCTTGGAGAGTACCTCACATACTAGTACTAGCGAACGTAAATAACTTAAGTAACATAATTTTGTTAGTACTAAACAAATCACAACTTCACCTTCGTTTCTCGCGGTCTCTATCCTTCTCTTCCGTCTTGACCTTAGTCTCCCGTTCAGGAGAGAGGCTGTCTGAACGTTTCATGGCAGGAGTGTTCGATCCGGGTACGGTGATGGATTTCAGCTCAAAACTTGGTGGGAAAAAATCAGCTCCTCGATCAAGATGGGGAGGGGGGCAAGTTGATATCTCCGACTTTCACCTCAACCTCGTGACTCAGGCTCTCGCAATCAACGAAACATGAATCAAAGACAAGTTCTCAACCTTGTCTTGTTGATATCACCGTGTTGCTCACTGTAAGAGACCGGTATGTGCAGAAATATCACAAAAACGTCTCAGTTTTGCCAAAACGCAGGACTTACGTCGCCATCTTGGTCATATCAGCGTACCCAGAGTCCTTTTCGCTTTTAGTCTAAAGCGCAGATTTTTTTCAAGGATTTCCTGTTACATCTGTGAAAAAGAAAAGTTACCACTTGACTTTAAACGATTCACATTCGAAACAAAATCTGAGAAAACCGATAACAAAAACACACAAATTTCCACAGAGCTCGGTCTATTTTTACTCCCCAGATGCAATGTATCATGGGAATGTGAAACTGGTGAATGAAATTTGGCGCAGTGCATGATGGGTGAGAAATATTTTGTGTAGTACGCCCGCTATGGCTGCCCTGGACGCGCTGTGGGAGGATAGAGACGTCAGGTTTGACGTCCCTCCGGTGTAAGTACTCACACAGCTCAGCTTTTCTCAATGGTGTCAACTTGTACTAACTCTAGACTTCGTAAACAGCTGCGAAAATACTTCATATGATGTCTAGAAATGAAAATTATAATGATATGGGGAGGGGGGCGGGTTTGTTGTTGTTTTTTTCCTGACACCTGTTGTCTTGTTTACCTACAGACAGATGAGAATGAGACCGGGGGAGGTAAGTCAGTTACAGAACTAAAAAAAAATCCGTTTGCTCTTGTCAATCCTTCTGTGTGCGATTGATTGCATTTACAATCGTAGCAACGTTATATTAATTTTGAAACTTTTCACACAAATTCATAACTATGTGAAGTTTTATCTTGATGCTGGGATGTTAGGACTGTTCCTCCAATTACATTCAATAAGAAAGCTGGATTTTTTTAGATGCTTGTGAAATTTCAATAAAGTTATTCATTCATTTCATACTTCAGATTTTGATTGATCGACTGGATTCTATAGAAGACACCAAAGGAAACAATGGAGACAGAGGTATTAAAAGATTGGTCACAATATTGTTTTAACATTTAAAAATGCTCTTATGCCAAGTCTAGTCTGCAGTCGTGTTATTTTTATATTATTGCAGAATGATGCATAGATGCTTTGTATGCCAATTGCACCCAGTTTAATGAGGGCCTGCATGGGGGAGGGAGTCCCGACAACGTTCTCCGCCGAATTCAGAAACCTCTCGATTACGCTTTACGATAAATTCCAAGTGGCTGCAACGCATTACGTAGAATTAAAACTGAGTATACGCTCTACACAAAAAGCGCCATTTACGCTCTATGTTGAATTAGAGCAGTCTGTCTACTCTTTACGTAGAATAGACCCATTCGACTTTCACGGATCGCACAAACTGCATACGTCACAGGGGGGACATTTTGAATAGAAACTACGTCACAGGGGGGACATTTCGAAAGTTCCTTTCAACGATCGCATAAACTGCATACGTCACAGAACAAAATAACATTAAATTGTTGTACGGATTGCCACCATACAATGTTGGTGCCTGTTTTCCTGTCATTTCCGCATATATTACCGAGAAAAAAAGACATTTTAGTAAAAAAATGATCTGCCAGGGGGACATCGCGAGCGCAAGCCGCGCTCAACTTCAGTGTTCTAGAGCGACGTTCTTTCGAAATGTCCCCCCTGTGACGTAAGCAGTTTATGCGATCCGTGAAAGTCGAATGGGTCTATTAAAATGGCCGATTACGCTCAACGAACAAGGGCATGCAGGCTCCCTTTAATATTGTACAGGTAGTATACATACGATTGTCTTTTTTTTTTCATTAAAAGCACTCAAATGTATGGACCAATCAGAAGTTCAGAACACTACATGTATGTATAACTCAGTATAGATAAGCCTAATTTAATGCCTGTTTTGTTCTTAAGGTCGACTGATGGTGACCAATTTAAGGATGATCTGGCACTCCCAGAGTTTACTCCGAGTCAATCTATGTAAGTGTCAACCTTCATGGAAGTCCAAATTTTGAAATTTAGTTTTGAATGCAGTTCTAAGTCAGTTCAAGTGACTGGTATTGAATGCAATGCACAGAGAACATGACATTACAAACATGAAACTGATGAAAAAATTTTGTAATCTAATAATAATAATATTAATAATGAATTAATGATATTGTGTTTATCTCCTAGCTGTTGGCTACAACACCATCATCACAATATCTACCAGAACAGCCAACTCTGTAAGTTCAATACTTTTTAATATCCTAAGTATAATATTTCATATTAAACCCATGATTTTATAACATGACAGGAGCCTGAAGGCTATAGTAATAGTAATAGTAATGCTAGAATTACTTAACTAGTTACTAATAGAAAGAAACTGAGAAAAGTTTTCAATGTGATTTGGCAATGTTTTCCCCTTTGTCCATTGTTTCATGCATCTTTTTCTTCCCAGAAACTCCGAGGCCAGACGGAAGCTTTATACATCCTGACCAAATGTAACAACACTCGCTTCGAGTTTATCTTCACTAACCTGGTCCCAGGGAGTCCACGTCTCTTCACTTCAGTCATAGCCGTGCACAGGTAACTAGGGGTGGGTACCGGTTCAGCCGGACCGGTTTAAACCGGAACAACATTGGGGAAGCAAGTCCAAAAAAACGAAACGCAAAAACTTGATCATCAGACCTGATGTACATTTCTATAGTACGTCGGGACTTGAAAACAGCGACTGTTAAAAAGAAAATTTTAAAAAAAGTTCCTCTCCGGGGATCGAACTCGCTGTGTGCAAACCCCGCCACCGCCACTCAGCATCGCTATACCGTTTGAGCTATCTGATTGCGTAATTGTCTGACTGCCCAAGCAACATAGTATACATAGCGATCGGAGAAAATTGGGCAGGTCCGAGCAGGATGAACAAATTATGATTGAAGCATGAAAGCCCGTCTTTAAAAAGAGTAAGTATAAAACGTATTGACATTCCTGAGTAAGAACAATGCAGCAGGCAAACGTAAAAGTGCAAACATAATAGAGAAACATAGAAACTTCGCCAGGACATGCAACAACGACATCTAGCGACATGCGGCATTATTTTTTGTCATTAACATAATTTACGCAATCATCTTAAGATTTGTAGTACGATCAATAAATTAGCGCCTAAAAACTTATGTAACCATACTTCAATCAATGGTATGTCACTAGATGAGACTGTTACTACATAAAGTTTCTTTTTGTAAAGAACTTGGATTAAAATGGCAGCAAGTCTATTGCATACACCTGACAAACCGGAAAGAAGTAAACAGGTATTGCATGGCCTGCAGTGTTGCCAAACTACCAAAGAAAGAAAGAAACAAAGAAAGAAGGATGCGCCGCCGAAATGTAAAAATTCCAAGCTAAAAGCCTGTTGATAATTGACAGGCGTTGTTTTATCTCAGGGCCTATGAGACATCTAAGATGTACCGTGACCTGAAGCTGCGAGGAGCTCTGATCCAGAACAAACAGCTGAGACTCCTGCCTCAGGAACAAGTCTTCAACAAGGTCAACGGTGTCTGGAACCTCTCCAGTGACCAGGTGGGCACGTCAGTAGTTTTGTGTACCTAAACCAGCACGTCGGCAGAACGTACTGCACCTGCGCGAAACCCGTAATGTATTGTATATAGCATTTCGGCAGAACGTCTCACATAAGGTTGTATTCGCTCATATTATAAGGTTAGCATTTCGACACTAGTTTCCAAATGTTATGTCGGAAAGAATATCCTCTGCAACAGGCAAAATTCTGATGCAACGTTGACCAAAAACCCAACGAAAAACGCGAAAATACGGGGTTCTGCGCAGGCGCAGTACGTTCTGCCGACGTGCTACCTAAACCCACATTCAGGTCCAGGTCTGGATTCAAGTCCGGGGGTTTACAGTTTTGAAAATCTATCCAGTTGCTTGAGTAACAATTTCCTTTTTTTTTCTGGTTTACTTCGCATAACCTGAGTGTAAACCGCCTGTAAGTACAAGCTGTGTAAGACCGGACTGTTGGGTTTGAACAACTCACACCGGGAAGGAACCCTACTCTTTTCGATATGTGTGTTGGGATCTTTAATGTGCGTGGGGTGTGGTTCCCCCCAAAGACGGGACCTCCATTTTACGTCCTATCTGAGGGACATCCCTAACCGAAGCTAGGTACTCATTTCCATTTGAGTAAAGTGAGGAAAATTGTGTTAAGTGCCTTTCCCAAGGACACAAGATCGGTGACATGGTAGGATTCGAACCCTAGACCTTTTGATACCGAGCCAAACACACTACCAATTACGCCACACAACGCCATGGTCGTGTACCTTATTACCTGGATGTCTAACCTTGCCTACATGTATCTCTGTTGTAGGGGAACCTGGGAACATTTTACATCACCAACATCAGGTTGGTGTGGCATGCTAACATGAACGACAGCTTTAATGTCAGTGTGCCATACCTGCAAATGGTCAGTCTCTTTCATTCAAAACTTTATAGGCTTTGTGAAAAAAATACCATACAATGTAGGCTACAAGTACATTTTGTACATGTATAGATGTTAAATTGCTCTAATCTCAGTATGGTGGTATATTGTACGCTTTGCATCCATTCCTTCCATCCATATTGTACTTTAATGTTAACTATTTTTGAAGAACATACTAAAGAGGAAGGGACCACACAGTCATAAAAGAGGATCCATCAGAAATTTCTGCTTGACTGGAGTGACAATTGAACTCTTGCCAAGGTACCACCTAGTCTAACAAGGTTGCATGTATGTTTAAAGTTAAAACTTTTGATCCAAGTTCTATCACCAACTTTAGAAATGTAGCTACCAACGCAGATGAACTTTCATGATTGTGTGCGATGTGTTGTTTGTTAACAGAGGTCGGTAAAGGTACGAGACTCCAAGTTTGGTCTGGCTCTAGTTCTGGAGACATCTCAACAGGTTTGTTTCCTTATGTGTCATATTTCATAATTTATTATAAAAAATTACATAACATGGATATCTTTGGCCTTTGATTGAAAAAGCCAGACCAATATATCTTACCTAGTTAACTGAATAAAATGAAATGTTGCATGCATACATGCAGCCTTTTTTTTGCGTGGACCCCTGCAAAGGACATGAAATTTTTAGCTGATCGACCTTTTCTGACACCTGAGGCCACACCAATTTATTTTCTTGGTTAACGGATTTTTGTAGAAAAAAAATGAAGCGGGCGGGCGAAAAAAAAATAAAAATAAAAATTTGATACTACCTGCCATACAGCCATGTAGTGTGAAATCCAGACTGCTTATTAAGTTACGAAAATACTGGGAAAGAAACAAAAGACAAGAGAGGATGTACCGTATTGTGTTTTATTTGCTATCCACACCATTGGGTTGATAATCTTTTTCGTACACGAGCAAAATGCAGAAAACAAGTTTTAGCATGTTACTTCCAAGTTTCACCATCATCATATGTACTCTAAAACATGACACGAATGTCAACTCTCACAAGCAATTTCATAGTCACAACAACTTTAATGGGGACAAAATTTATTCAATTTTACATGTACTGTACCTAGATTCTGCCTTGATCCAAAGTTCCAGCTTTCTCAAACAAATTTTGTCCCGCCATGAGGCTCCCGCCATGCAGAAGAGAACAAAACAAATGACTGAGCCAACATGGTTCCAGAACATCGCATCTGATTGGTCAGAAAGTAAAACAATCCACGATTGGCTACTTTACGTCATGTGACTATGTGTGTAGGAGCGCCTCTAGCGACATTGGTATCAACTGCAGCAATTTCATTGTGGTCTCCCTGTTCAGGGTATTACCGGCCTGTGGGGTCTTAACTATGACGTTTTTTATTTTTATTTTCATTCGGCAAAAAAAGCAAGCGGCGAATCCGTTAACCAAGGAAATAAATTGGTGTGGCCTGAGTGATGAAACGTTGTACAAGCAGTTTTCTAACATTGACATTGAAAATGTAACTGTCCTCATGCAATTTTTACTTTGTTAAATTGCATTGTATAAGCAAGTAGCTCCTTGGTGAAGTTGATAACGATAAAGTCTAAAAAAAAAGAGAAAAGAAAGATAATCCCTAGCTACATGTACTTAGCCTGGGTACCATCCCCAGTAGTATATTCGCAAACTCTATAACTGGGTCTGGACTTGCACACATATGTAGCGTCTGGAGTCTAAATATTCGTTCAGATTTTGAACGAGCGCGCTGATTGGTCCTACTCGTCTAAGCCCTTTTTTGGGTGTGTACATATTAGGTAAGGGCCGAACGGCGACGTTAGCGTCCGTTCGAACGTCCGAACGCCTTATCATCAACATGTCCGACGGCGAACCGAACGCTAAAGCGCACATGATATAGCCGTAGTCAGTCTTTCCGCGATAAATCATCAACATGGCTGACGCACAAGCCGCTCAGCTCACGGAGGTTGATGTTGACCTCGCAATCACGTCCGTTTTGGACGATTTAGACGGAATATCGTCGCTCAAAAATGAGCAAAAAGATGCATTGAATAATTTCGTTCGTGATGTTTTGGGCGTCCTACCGGTAAAAAAAGAACGCGCCGAGAAAAGGAACACTCGCGCGAAGATCTGTGTTTACAAAACAACAAACATCACTTGAATAATGCAGGCGCGCCATTGGCCGTCGCCTCTGAGGCTCAGCCAATCAAATGAAGCCCCGCTGATCGGGCTAGCTCATTACGTGACGTCATGAACAATCGTTTTATATGTGTGCAAGTCCAGACCCAGTTATAGAGTTTGCGAATATACTACTGGGGATGGTACCCAGGCTAACATGTACTACCTACAGACCCTAATTTTTTCAGGACTGAAACTGGAAATACAACATTTTTTCCTAGCACTACCTGAGCCTTTTAAAAATATCTTTTAAGTTTTGCCTTTTTTTCTTAACCCATTTGTATTACACATTGCTTGTAATACTAATAGTAATGCACGTCCTTGTTCTGCCTACAGAGTGGAGGCTATGTCCTGGGGTTCCGTATTGACCCAACAGAGAAGCTACAGGAAGTCGTGAAGGAGATACAGAGTATCCACAAAGTCTTCAGTGAGAACCCCATCTTTGGGGTGGAGTTTGAACTAGAAGAAAAGGTACTGTCAATATTAGTATCCAGTATTTGATTATTCTGCTGAATGCTTCCTTCACTATCATACAAACTTTAACAAAGAACCATCCACAATAAAATGTACCTCGTCTTCTACTTTACCCAAACTACAAAATTGGCAGATTCCTCTGCTCTAGAGGAGTGTGATTTGTGATTCTTCCTGATTCGATTCGCAATTTGTGACAACTAGTACTGATTCTAACTTTTGTAACAAAGGATCTGTGACGTACCTTTGCAATTGATTAGGCCACACCAATTTAATTTGTTGGTTCTCAGATTGGCCTCTTCATTTTTTTATGATTTGCAAAAAAAATTCTGCTGCTGAATCAACTCATATTTTGCCCCCAACAGTTGAAATCCTTTTCTTTCTAGTTACAGTTTTTCCATCTATCAATGCAGTGGTTTGATTCAAAGTTCAGAATTCATTCATTGTTTGAATTTTAACCCAGCCTTTTTTGTTGACTTCATGGCTCCTATCAAAGCATTTGGGGCTATAATAGGATGCCTAGACCTGTTTTATTTTTATTTTTTTTCTCCCTGTCGCTTCAGATTTTTTCGGAAATAATCCGAGAACCAACAAATTAAATTGGTGTGCCCTTCACTCACTCACTCACTCACTGGGTCGAGCTTCCCTCTGTGCCAATGATAGCTCTCCATCTCTTCCTATCCTTCATTTCTATCATCAGGTTTTTCCTGTTTAGCTGGGTGTCGTCCATTAATTGGTTAATGTAGTTTCTTGCTGGACGACCTCGACTTCTTTTTCCATGTGAGGGCTCCCACAGTATTAACCGGTTTATGACTTCATCCTCACTTCTGTAGCAGTGTCCGATGAACTTCAACCTTCGTTTTCTCATGACTATTTTTTTTAAGGTGTGCCCTTAAAACTACAAAAATGTACATGAAATGATGATACAACTAACTTTCTGAACATTTTTAAGTCTGATAATACAGAATATCAGACCTGATTTGTTCCTGCCACGAAATACACATGTTGCTAACCCTGAGTTGTTGTTTGCAGCCCCAGCCTCTGGAGGAGGTTACCCAAGTTGTCCAGTTTGACGATGTGGAAATCGAGAACGAGGGACAAACAGATGCATTCGCTGTAAGTTTCTGCCCCTCAACTTTTCATTAGACAAGTTCTTACAATCGACAAAAAACAACACGAAATATTGATTTTGTAAGAAAGTTACAGAAAGGACCAGAATATCTGAACAATTTCATAAATGATGACAATTGTACTGAAGTTACTTTATCTTTTTATCTGTCTTTAAACAGGCATACTTTGCAGATGGAGATAAGGTAAGTACATATCTTGTTTCAGTTTTCCATAAAGTCTCTTGATTAGCAGTTCTGTAGAAATGATGGAAGTGATGACATGTGATACCTTTAAAGGCATCCAATGCGATTTCAGAGCAGCAAAACTGGAAGTATTCTAGATAAGGCAATCTTTGTGATATTCACACATACTGCTTCACATTAGCACATTTGAGTCAGTATTTTAAACTTTGGGCTTTGAAAACTGCAGAAAGCTCCAAGATGAGTCCTTTATTTTCTGGGAGGTACCCTAAAAATCAGTCCAGGGTCCTTCCAGTAACCATTTACCATCAGAATTTTTGGAATTTTTGCTCCATGAGGGTCAATATACATGTACATTGAGATAGTGTGGTTTCAACTCAGTATGCAGATTAATGACTAGAATATTGGTTTTGAAAAATCAGGTCTCCGAGCCCTAAAAACTGCACTGGATGCCTTTAATGCTGAGATTCTGCCATCTGTGATGTTTTACAGCAAAAGGACCGAGAGCCGGTGTACTCTGAGGAGCTGGGACTGGCCATCGAGAAGCTCAAGGATGGATTCACTCTGTCAGGGCTGTGGGAGGTCATGTAACTCAGAAAAGAACAAAAGCACGATCAGCAGAACGTACTGCAACTCCACGAAACCCGTAATGTCTATTGTGCACAGCACTTCGGTAGAACGTCTCATATATGTATTCATGTATGTATGATTAACATCCCATCTGTATAGTTTCCAATTGTTGTGTCGAAAAAGATGTTGTCAGCAACAGGCAAAATTGTAAAGCAACCTTGACCAAAAATCCGACAAAAAGTGTGAAAAAACAGGGTTTTGCGCAGGTGCAGTACGTTCTGCCAACATGATCATGTGACCTGGGAAGTCATGTGACATTAAATGTCATGTGACCCGAAAAATCACAAACTTAGATCATGTGACCTGGAAAGTATTGAGTAGTCTGTTTATGAATAGTTTCATCACAGAAATGTAAAATGATATTGTACATATAAAAATATTTTTGTGGAGTGCATTTGTTGAGCATTTGGCCTTACTGAGTTGTCCTTATTGTTGTTTATGAATGCTGTGTAGTTTTGATAGCACATTGTACCCATCTAAAATGTCTGTGGATATAAAAACATTTGTGTGCATTTGTATAGTCAGGAAAAGTGTGACCAGATTATGTAGGAAACTAAAAAATGTATATCTGAAATTGGACTTGAACTGTGAATAAAATATTCTGCACATTGAAGGTGTTTTCTTTCGTGTTACAGTACATTATTTTAATTGAAGGTTTATTGCCAATTCATGCCCGAGGGCTAATCGCAAGAACATGATAACAAAAATAAACAGTAAAAATGATCATATGTAATGCTAATGCTACTATAAGGATATAGTTATTGTTGGGTTTGATTTCTTACCGTGGCCGACAAGAACAAAATTTTACACCGCAACTTTTGGTGTTTTACACCGCAACTTTTGGTGTTTTACACTGCAACTTTTGGTGTTTTACACTGCAACTTTTGGTGTTTTACACTGCAACTTTTGCTGTGTTTTACACTGCAACTTTTGCTGTGTGGAAAACTTACACCCCTCCCCTTTTATAATGGACGGTCCCCCTGTCAGGTCAAAGGTGACAACGATGGCATGCAAACTACGTCGACTGAGTTATCCTTTTCGTGCATAAGTTTTTTAGAGGAAAAGCTTGGCTACGTTGTGACGTTAGTTTTTTTCTAAAGGTTTGTCTAGCTTTGGCCTATAGATCGGGATAAATTTAAAAATGTTTCGACCAGGTCCAGTGATTACAAATTATGTTGCTTTTTGCTGCCATGCGTACAACACAATTTTGGTAGATTTTTTCAAACCTTGCGTTATCTTTTGACTTTCCAAATGCGACCCTCAACTTTACCTCCAAAACCCTGCATTAGACCATTCATCTACTGTTATATAAGGTACTCGGATTTATTGCGTGGAGTACGCGGTATCGGATCTATCTCGTCTCTTAAATTTCTTGCCCCTGAATTATCGTGATATGCACTTCTAATGGTGATCCCAGGGTGACGTGTTCTACACCGTCTGCCTAACAATGTAGACTGATTGAGAAGTAGTCACCTGTAGCAAAAAAATAACCACGAGCTTGCTGACGCATTTGTATAACCAAATAGGCAGAAAGAATTACAAGTTTGCTAGAGATTAATCGAAACTTTGTGTATCTGACGGGTTAACGTATGGTGTATTCGGGCAGCGGCGGAGCTCCTCATATGTATTTGGAAGGAGTCCAGGTTGAAGAGATTACCCATAGTGGTAGAATGGGGCCTCGAATGGGAGCACGACACTGTGACTCTCAGGTCGCCGCCATCTTTGTCACCTTTGACCTGACAGGGGGACCGTCCATTATAAAAGGGGAGGGGTGTAAGTTTTCCACACAGCAAAAGTTGCAGTATAAAACACAGCAAAAGTTGCAGTGTAAAACAGCAAAAGTTGCAGTGTAAAACACCAAAAGTTGCAGTGTAAAACACAGCAAAAGTTGCAGTGTACAACACAGCAAAAGTTGCAGTGTAAAACACAGCAAAAGTTGCAGTGTAAAACACCCAAAGTTGCAGTGTAAAACACCAAAAGTTGCGGTGTAAAACACCAAAAGTTGCGGTCTAAAATTTTGTACTTGTCGGCCACGGTAATTTCTTTTCCGTGTGCAGTGGAGTATGAAATGGCCAACATTTTGCGAGATATATGAATTGGGAGGTGTTAATAGAAATGCAGTTTTTTGTAGGCTTGAAGGTGAGTAAAGCTAGGGAAGATTTTGGTGACCATTTCAAATAACTTGTCTCTTTCAGTGCTATATATAATGAGGGCAGTGACAAATAAAGTGCATTTCATCCTACACTGCATTTTCTGTACAATATTTACATATTCTGTCGTTAAGGCCACACAAATTTAATTTGTTGTTTCTCAGATTCGACTTGTCCATTTTTTCTGATTTGCAAAAAAAAAAAATATTTTTTGTTCTAAATCAACCGAATAATACTCAATGAAAGACATATTTTGGCCCCAACAGTTGAAGTAAGTCCTTTTCTTTCTAGTTGTCAAAGTTTTTGAAATTTCAATGTAACGATGTAATTTTGTTTTATTAGAAGTTCAAAGTCTATTGTTTCAATTATAAACCAGTCAGGTATCTTCATAGCTCTTATTGTAATATTTCCAGCTATCATGGGATGCCTTGGCCTGTTTTTTTTTTCGCCCTGTCGCTTCATATTTTTCTGAAAAAATCCGAGAAACAACGAATTAACGGACAATTGTTTGTAACTACCCCTGTTCTTTTTCCATGTTTTTTGATACATGTAATTACATTGCCTTCGTACAATTCGGATGATTTCAGGGATGTATTTGAAGAAAAAACCATCAAATTCAAATGTACATATGTTTGCCTCCATTAGTATTCTATAGCCTTTAGATATTTTTAACAAATGTTTAACAACATTAATAGTATCATTTCCTAAGAAATGGCCATGTGTACATGTACTTAGTCTGGGTGCCCTCCCATTTGTAAAAAAAAAAATCGGGGTTACCGTTACAAATCGGATGGCACCCAGGCTAACATGTACTAATTTCCACGTGTAAGAAATATCATTGCATCAACGGTAATTTCAGCAAACAATTCATAAGTCATTTAACATACAAAAAAGAATCCATTCTACAATGTACATGTAGTATTTTACACTTTTTACCTGAGTATCTATTTATTTGGCCCCCATATGAACACATAGATCACAGTTAGTCGAATTGGTCCCATTCTTTGTTGTAGTCAAAATGTCGTCTCAGCCAAGCCTCCACCTTGATATTGTTTCGTCTGATTTCTGCAGTTTCCTCGTCCTCCGCTAGGTGCACCACAGGCTGTCTGGGCTGCTGTTGCTTGATTGTCTCTCTGGACGAGTTCACGTCGTTCTGAGGAGCGTGAAGCTGGCGCTGCTCGATAACCAGTCTGTCTTTCAGTCCCTTTATGTTGTCTACGTCTACATTATTCAGATCGAAGTTGTGAAAAACCCTCTTTATCTCCCTGTCAACTGACATGCTACCGGTCCGCGTGCCTTCCCGTCTCGGGGTGTAAGTTCTTAGAGCCGAGAACTTAGCGTCTTGTGGCGGCGCAGACTTGGCGTAAATCTTCCTTAAGAAGGGAGACGTACCGCGAGAAGAGATCTTCCTGGCGTCTTGTGACGAGTCTTGCACGATGTAGTCGCTAGATTTCTGCAGGCGGATGGAGGCCCAGACATTTGGATAGTACCCAGGCTTACCTACAGAAAAGATAAAATACGTAGCGCATTATGTATTATTACTTTCTATACAACATTACTGCACACGATATACATACATTAAATGAACCGTTGAAAAGAGGTCAGTCTATTCAAAAGTTACGCTATGAACATACTGTAACCTCACTGAAAGAATCATGAAAACTTTACGCAGATTTCAGTGCCATTTTTCTTCTAAAAATAGTACAGAGTTGAAGTAAAATGTGATTTTCGAAGCTTTTCTATATATATATTCCTGAGTCAAAATATGAATATATAAACACATGCGCCAAAAACAGCTAGATACTCAAGCAACTGCATATGATTTTGGAAAGTTGCTTGAGTAACTGTTTCTTTGCTTGGCGTATCTTATTACCTTCACCGACATATAAAACACATGTTCCAACAAAAGCCACCCTACGTTTACTTACCACCTATCGTTCCTCATTTACTTATTTCAACACTCGTTTATGGAACATGGCTTTTAGTTCAAACAATATGGGCAGTTAGCGACGGAGATATGGAGTTTTCTATTTGGCCTGGGTTAGGCCACACCAACCTAATTTATGGATGACATCCCCAAAACTAGTGCGCGCGGGCGATTAAAAAATTCCGGCTACTAAACCACAGGAATACAAATCTGGTATTGTGGATTTGAAGCCGTACACAGTGACTCACATAACAAGCCGGCACATGCTGGCTTTTTGCGGAATTTATGAATCTGCACTATACGCATGCACTGAGTTTTGAGTCGTGGAGCTTCGGTAGCCTGGGTGCCATCCTCCAGGGTTACCACTGGCTCCGTATTGTCACTAACTACCATGGACTACCCAGGTCTAGAGTCAGGCCAGAGGACCTGATCTTCTTTCTTTCTTTCTTNTTCTTTCTTTTTTTTTTTTTTTTGAGAATAGGTGAAAATCAATGCGCGCGTGGATGATATCCATAAACCATAAAATGTGGCCTTACTGGAAGAGGCTGAAAATAGGACTGAAATATCTCGGGCCCCATCAGAGAGGGCAAAGTACTTCGCGCCATATAATTATAAAGAAAACGCGATATCTCATTCAGTTCGCACTTTGTTCTTTGCCTCCACTGATGAAGTATACAACCCGCTGAGTCTCTAGATTCTAAGGTAAGGTTTCTAATGTTGGCCTGGCATATGTAACAATTTCAGCATGTTACATTATTATGCCTAGGCCTGTTTTTGTCGTGTCAAAAACGACAGATCTAATAAATGCCGGTTTTTGGCAGTCCGTTTCCACGGAGTGAAGAAAACAGGACGGCAGTTTCATGACAAGCATTTCTGAATTCGTGACTATCTCTAAAGATTATCAATCCGTGATTAGTCAAATGCTGCTTTCCAGATGTCACTTCTCATCATTGTGGACGTATGACCCATTTAGGAACATGGCAAGGAAATACACATTTTCTTCAAGAATATAACCAAATATGTAATGTTTTTATTATGGAACAGAGATCTGTCGCTGAAACGAAAAAAATCATAAACACAGAAAGCTAGTTTTTAGAAGACGTGTCTCGTACCTGTTGACTCGGGCAGGTTGTAGCTGATAGCGGGTAACAGACTGACATGTTTGCGGAAAAGCGCGTCCTCCACGGTGTGGAGGGGCAGGGACTGTCCCCGGACCTGCATCGGGAGGGTGGCGGCTCTCTCCCGGCCCTTTTGCGGGGGGCTGACCGCTGGCGCCGGCGAGGGGTAGGACGAGGACGGGCCCCAGACACTCAGCAGCCCGCGGGGAGACTTCCGTACGTCGCCCCTCTCCTTACCTCGTTGTAGCAGGGACATCCTCAGTTCAGATAGACAGAAAAACACCGCTGCTGGTGCGCGTGTCACCAGTTCCGAGCACCAAATTCCTCCAGTTTGGGCCCAAAGAATGCCCCAGCCAGTTTGTGATCTGTATCACGCATGATACTGGGCAGGAATTCGCCCCCCGAACTATCCCCCAGCAGTTGGCACCCGTACCGGCGTCCGAGAAATTCTTCCAGGGGCACGGAAAGGCAGTCACATTGGTCGGTGTTATCAAAGCGAGAACACAAGTTCGGCTGTACAGGGCGTACGTGCTTCAACAAAATGTACCGACCGTCCTTATGCTTCCACGGAGAGGCGAGTCGCTATAAACAGGTGTACAAATCACGTCTGCGTGCTCCCCCGCTGTCACCGCCTGTACATGTATACCCCGTCCCTACTGGCAACCAAGACGCCGCAGGGACATGCTGACACACCGTCAACAAGACACCTCGTCCGACGGGATAAGGACTAATTAAGCACGGCTTGATTGACACTTCTGGCACCTTGTTAACTCTCAAAAAGACTTTCACAAAGAAAAGGCTAAAACTACTTATCCCTTACACGTTATTTTTGGTGTGTATATATATACTCTGAGCTATAATTATAGTAAACATATAATACCCCCAAGTACGTATTGAGGTGTGATAGTTTATACAGACAGCACACGTAACATGTTGTTGTACAGGTGTATTTAGTGGTTCGGTTTGGAAACGTGCTATTCGTTTAGGAGGCTTTACTATAAACATCATCAGGACATGCTTCGAATTTTAATGATGACAACGTCCTTTTGCAAGAAGTTTAAGTCCCTTAAGGCAGGATTCTTCTGCACTGTCGGCTATCACGATGTAGTTGTGTATCATGGATACACACGCATACATAAACAGTTGTGTTAGACGGTTTCTAACAGAAAGACAAGTCAGCATACACGCCAGACAGTAATGTAATGGCAGTGAATGGCTGTGTTTGCAGTACCTGGGCTCCAGGAGACGTATAAACTAAACTCTTTCTTTCATTTCGTCAGTTTGCTTTTCAGTTGTTGTCGTTTGACTGCCTGAATGTTTTTGTAGCGTGTTTCTAAGTCTCTGTGTTGAAGGAGGCGCCAGTTTATGTTTGTCGATATCAAAGATAAGTTAGAACCGTACGAAAAAGCCATATACACGTGTACTTCTATAAAAAAAAGAAATCAGTTTTTTCCACTCAAGTTTGAAATCACATCTTGCGTTACTGACAAGCAACTCTTCTAAACTGCTGCCTTAATAACATGTGATTTTGACGGCGATCACTCAGTTCATCGACTCGAACCTTAATTTTCAATTCCACACACGTACTTCCACATAGGAAAGTGACTACATGTTGAGGGGAAACCTATCCGATCTGACTTGTTTACCGTCAGCAAGTTCAGTTGTTAGACGACGTCTGCGGGGGCCTGGGCGGCAACACGCCGCCTTCACACCCGGGCGAACCTAAGACCACAACAGGTGTCGACTTTACGACTCCCTCACAAACAGACAACTGAATATTACTCTTTTCGTACACTCTATCGTAATAACTTTGCCTTAAAAGTTGCCGCAGCGCGTGTTCAAGAGCACACGGTGTCGTTCAAGTGTAATTACGCGGCCCAGGAGGGCGGGCTAACCGCACGTAGCTCCACTGTGGCGACTCAGTGAAAGCAAGCCGACAGGGTTCGGATGAAGGGACTCTATTCAATTGGAGCGTGTCTAACGGCAAATAGTCTTTAGTGCACAGGCGGGCTTTCTGTAAACTTTGTCTCAGGATCACGCAGAGAAGTAAACTTGGAACAAAGGACGTGGTGAAGTGTGAGTTGTTGAATAGAGAGGAGGAGGGGGGGCTTTGATCAAGAGCACTAGCTTTTAATTACATCATCTCTTCACTTTATAACCGGTATCGTACGAATAGCAAAGTTCTTTGATCACAATCATTTATTTTCTACGAGCCGACGTTTCGATGTGACCGTCTGTCATCTTCATCAGGGCAATTCTGACTAGCTTAAGTGCACTGTGAACCAAGTAACAGTGCCCTGTGAACTATGTAACACCTTTAGTGCACTATGCACCAAGTAACATCTAGCGTCAGTGCACAGCAAACCAGTCAGAATTGCCCTGATGAAGATGACAGACGGTCATCGAAACGTCGGCTCGTACAAAAATAAATGGTTGTGATCAAAGAACTTTGCTATTCATTCGTTTACCAACATGATGAACCTATTTATGGAAGGTATCGTACGGTTTTTCATATGCTCGACACAAACTATGCTACTTGACTATATGACAGTTACTGATTATTGTATGACCAAAGAAGAATGACCAAGTACTGAGAGCTAGAGAAAAAAGGAAGCCACAGATTCAGTACAATCAAAAACACCTTTAGGATATAGATTTTTTTTTACCAAATTCTTATTTCTACTTCGCTGTTCTCTCATTATTTTCATTGGATAGCCGTTTAGTTTGTTGTGATGGCAGTTCACAAAAGCACAAATATTGCTGCCACTCTATTCCATTCGTTTCACACTTGTACCTACCCCTGAGAATATACGACCTTGGCCTGTTGAACAGTTTATTTTTTGAACAGAGTACGTAAGACTGGCCTCTTTCACATACTAGTAAGACCGCAAACCAACTTCATTTATCAACAGTGATGTAACAATCGGAGACGGCCAAAACAATACATTTTGTACTTGGTCTTTTTCGGTGGATTTGTATTGTCGTCGTCGACTACAGAAGTAGCTGAGCTAAGAATACGTTTTAGGAATTGTAGAGAAACTAGTGCTGCGACCTAGCGAAATGTAACGGTAATGCACCACAGCCCTCGCCAATGTCCAAGATACGAAACATGTCAAAACCAACGCGTCTGCATTCCATGTTGTCTGTTTTGCGTCTACCTGTTTTTGCGACGTTTGTTATTTTGTTTGAACTTTGCAAGTCCAGCACCATTTTGCGGCCTAGTTCAGACCTTATCTGCGTTGCTGTTGTTGTCGTTGTTCATTCTTTGTTTTCAAAGATAAGGCCACATTGATTTAATTTTATAGATGACATCCGCGCGCGTATTGATTTTCGCCTGTTCTCAAAAAAAGGAAAAAGGGCACTTCCTCCGAGGCTCTCGTCTGGGTGTCCGTAGTCCATGTAGTGACAGTAAGGAGCCGGCGGTAACTATGGAGGATGGTACCCAGGTTGCCCAAGCTCCACGGAACTCAAGAACTCAGTACAGTGCCGACTCATGAATGCCGCAAAAGGCCAGCATGTGCCGGCTTGTTGTAAAACTCACTATGTACTACCGCAAATTCACAATACCAGCTTTATATTTCTGTGGTTTAGCAGCATTTTTTGGCTGGAATCTTTTTTATTCGCCCGCGCGCACCGGCTAGTTTGGGGGTTTTCGGCGGATGTCATCCATAAAATTAAGTCAGTGTGGCTTAACCGATGCTTTGCCTTAGTTCTGTATGGTTGGTCCACAGACTAGTTTAATTTTTTTTTTGGCCTGAGTTTAAAGACATTAAATTGCTTGCTGAAATGAAGTCGTGGCCTAATCAATCTACTTCCTCGTCGTCGTCTGTAGTCGCGTCCTTCTTCCCCCGTTCTTCCCAGTCTTTCTCCATCTTCTGGTTGTAAAGACGGTCGAACTGTGTCACTATGACAGGGACGGGCAGGGAGATGGTCAGGATTCCCGCCAGGGCGCACAGCGAACCCACAAACTTACCTAACAAACAACAACAAACAGACAAACATTATAATATCAAAACAATGTATTCTTTAGTAATGTACCTGAGTACACTAGAAGTTTATATGTACACGTTTATGTATATGTATAGGCCAGATGTGACCTGATTTAGCCAAATGGGGCAAAAATGTACAATAAAGATCTTCATTTATTCATTCAGTAATAGCGTGCCATTTAGAGTTTGACATATTTTTTCAAAGCTAACGTTCCCGAAGTTATCGCAGGAGCTAGCAAACTCTTGAGGAATTCTTGCTTGTGTAAAAATGTATTAACGCCTTGAAATCATTGTAAGTAAACTATCCAACAAATCACAGAGCTCCTGCTATGGTGACGTAAGAAGTAATTTGCCTAGGAGGTGGGACGAGGGGGGTACAAACTCAGCCACGTTTGGGATTGTATTCTCGCTGCAAAAGCGCCACCTACATCGGCTACATATAGTCAGAAGTTCTGAGGAAGGTGTCTGGCAGACACTGAAACGTAAGCAAGGTAAGACAAGATTGGTTGTGTAAAAGAAAACCTCTCTACCCTTTGTTTAGGCCGGTTTACAGAGGACGGTCCTAACTCACCAGCTCCAGTCTGTGGGTAGGTGTCTCCGTACCCCAGCGTTACCATGGTAACGATAGCCCACCAGAAGGCGTCAGGGATGCTGGAGAAGTGTGATTCGGAGTCTTCCGGCTGGGGATGGGGGGGTGGGGTAGGAACAGCAATTAGACAGCATAAAGGTATTGAAACATTAATACAAAATTCCTATCCTATCCTATCCTCTATCCTACCCTATCCTATCCTATCCTATCCTATCCTATCCTATATCCTATCCTATCCTATCCTTTATCCAACCCTATCCTATCCTATATCCTACCCTATCCTATCCCATCCTATATCCTACCCTATCCTATCCTATCCTATATCCTATATCCTACCCTATCCTATCCTATCCTATATCCTATATCCTACCCTATCCTATCCTATCCTATCCTATCCTATATCCTACCCTATCCTATCCTATCCTGTATGCTATCCTATCCCGTCCCATCCCGTCCCGTCTCGTCTCGTCCCATCCCATCCCGTCCATGACGGTCCACACTGGACAGACGTCCTACCCGACTGAAACTTCTGCTCTACTCTACTCTAAAATTTTCCATTTGCGTAGATGTGCGTTCTCCTAGCTTTACCTGCAGTTGTTCCACGAAGTAGATGGCGGAGGCGAACAGGATGACGAGGATGACCATGAAGACCAGCAGCATGCCGATATCGCTGCCGCTGCCGGCCAGGGTGCTGCCCATCATCTTCAGACCCTCCGAGTACCGCGAGAGTTTAAAGATGCGCAGGACGCGGACCAGCCGCATGAGCCGCAGAGTCAGCGACGCCTTGCGGTAACTGTCGGAATAGCAGTTATTGTCTCGGTAAGGAAAAAAATCAGCAAACTACGGTCTTTTATAAACACACATCATAAATCTTCCTAAAACACGATAAAGTTAGTATAATGTATTTTGTTATCAATTTCAGCTTCACTGCTTTTACTGTCGTGCTATAGGAGTCCAGAAATATGTCTTTTTTTTCGTAAAAACAAGAGAAAGCCAAGCCAATAAAATCAAAGAAAAGATTGAAGCTCTGTATATTTCTATGGGGCACCAGCACTGCTTGAGGTAACCCACATTGGCCTATCGACGAATCTGCTGATACTGGTGATTTAATGAAGTGACGAACATAAACCAGTCTGCCTTAAAGACAACAAGGCAGCATTGACACAAGGAGAAATGAGAATTGTCTTACTCACAGCCCGCTGGTCTCCCAGTCACTGGCCAGCACCACCGACACTGTGATGAAGTACGGTACGATAGCGAGCACATCGAACACGTTCAGCACGCTCCTGAAGTAGTCCTTCTTCCGGGGACACGCCACGAACCTCAGCACCACCTCTAACGTGAACCACGCCACGCACACCGTCTCTATCCAGAAAAACTCCGTCGTGAATTCTACCTCAGGGTCCTGAACGCGCTCCGAGAAACTCGGCAACGTCTCCAGACATAAACTTGAGATGGACAGGAGGATAAAACCCACACAGAGTACGGCGTACACTTTAGCCCAGAGGGAACTCTTGGGGAACTCCAGGAAGAGCCAGAGTTTGCCGCAACAGGCGCTCGGGGCGAGTGATTGTGAGCTGGCGGCGCCGAAGCCTTCCTTTCTGCGGTAATTCGCTATGACGTCATCCCCCAGTTCGAAGAAGCGAAGCTCATCTGTGAAAACGTCGAGGGGGACTTCACTGGGTCTGTACGGGCAGAGTCAGAACGACATGGTTTGATTTCACAGAACTGTAACGTGCTATTGCTTATTACCATGTCTGTTTTCTGTATATGTGTATTCATGACACAACAGATAGACCAGAATATTGCATAACGATACAAAACTGTATTCATAAATATACACATAAACCAACTGGATTCTAACTCCTCAAACTTTTTTTTATTTTTTAAATGTTTTTATGAAGATTTACCACATTTGTGGAAGGATATCACTCACCTCGTCAAGATGTGAAAATTGAGACCAGACTGTGAGGTTTGAACCACTCAAACTGAGTGGTTTGAACCACTGTTCTTTATTTGAGGACAACGATCGTTGTCCCCTAATACTGTGAACAAGATTGTCAACGATATATTAACTTTTCACACTCTAGTTGTACGGAATTTATATAAATAAATGAAAGAAAGACCACTTGTCTTCTATAATGCTCATGTTCTATCTAATCTCCAAGCAGATCCCTTTTTGGTGGTACATGTATCCATTAGCCAGAGAAGGTCGCCAGCCACCGACGGGTGGGGTAGCGACAAAAAAACGGCCATATATAAAAAGCTAACGATCATTCCCCCACAACCTCTGCTTGGAGAGTAGCCTCTATCGCTTTCCACCTCGAATGAGACACGTTGAAATTCATGGTTCCCCCAGGCCCAGGCAATTACCCTGAGTCACAGGGACACGGGGATTGCCACCCTCACCGCTTCCAATCGACAAAACATCAGCAGTTCGGATTCATCTCAGCCTACTTTATGGTTCTGCTGACCTGATTTATCGATCGCTGTCGTCTGATTGAGGGCAATAAACCGGTCTGGAATTGGCGCCATTTTAGACGAGAAGCTATGTTAGGCCACACCAAGTAAATTTCATGGATGACGTCCGCGCGCGAATTGATTTTGGCCTGTTCCTAGAAAAAAACAAGAAATTCCGCTTCCTGTAACTATGACCAAAGAGTCACAACAGTGGGATAAGGGAAGATGTGATTAAAGAAAAGAAACAGGACAGGACGACAACTGCTGTTCCACCTGATTTATTGCTGTTTTGATGATGAATAAAAGACTTCTTGCTTGTTACACTGTGTCACCTCATTCAATTTGTGTCCTAACATTTGTCGTCTCTTAGTATATTTCTAATCTAGGCATCTTGTTTTTTAGGGCCTTTCTTGTTTTTTTTCGCCCTCTCGCATTACATTTAGGGTCTCCAAAGAACGTCATCCATAAAATTTACTTGGTGTGGCCTTAGATAGAGAATCGCATGGAGGGAAAGGATTTTTTTAGCTATTTTTGATTTAATTTTGCATTAGAATATAGCGTTCCAGTATGCAATACTCATGTTTTTTATCCTCTCGACCACATTTGGTCACATTTGTGCATTTAGCCTATCTGGGTAAGAACATGCAATAAAGATTCATATCATTATCTAACCCTTGTATGTTAAGAGATAAGATTTTTCGACATATTATCAGATTAATCAATTAGTTCAGTAATTTGTCACAAATAATCAGAAAACAGCGGTCTATGGAGTCTATGCTTGTGGTAATAGATGATTCACTGAATGAGTGTTATTTCTTAGTTAAGTGGTGGCTATAAGCCCTAATTAAGTAGCCTCGTAACTGATGTCTTTCGGGGAAAGGGAATAAATGACCTTCCTGGAGAATATGAGAATATTCTGAATCAACCCCACTCATACATAGCCGTAGATTACATACTTACGTCGGTTACTGATTTTTAACACTCTGTAGTTTATGTATCTAATTTTGTCGCGATCGTGCCAGAAGCGTATTTATCAAACGGTAGTCAGAAAGTAAACAAGTTTTCATCGTCTCTCAAAACTCTCACTTGCCCGTCTTTCTCTGCACCCGTCACACAAGGCTGGAGTTCCAGGCTACTGATTCAGAAATGAGTTAATGTAATTTGATTCCGTCTGACTTAATCTCATGTGATGTGGACTAACAATTGAATAACTGTGACGCGTTTAACCTTCTATCTTCTATTTATTACACACTAGAGAAAATTCAGGACGCACCGATGGAGCTTCCCACCAGTTTGGTAAAAAGCGAGGATGGCCTCAGCACTCGGCCGGTGCCTGTCGAAGAAATACTCTCTCCTCTCGGCGTCGTAGTACTGGCGTCTCCTGCCGGGGTCTCCCAGGAGGGTATCGGGGAATCGGGCCAGTGTGTCCGGCTGGGTTTCCAGCCTCAGTCCGCTGACATTGATGACGATCCTGCCGATACAACATTGGCCTTGACTCAGGGCTCGAAATACTGGGTGCGTGTGCACCTTGGTGCACCCAAATTTGGAGCTGTGCACCCACTTTTTTCTGTGGGTGCACCAGTGCACCCAAATATTTTTTGTAGGTTTACGTATGTCAAGATGTTAAATGTAGAGTAGTGCTAGTATTCAGCATATTCTTAGCATCTAAGTGTCAGAAAAAATGGTAAAATCATTCTTGTAGTACTTTTCTTTAGAAACGAAACATAATTAGTTTTCACTGACATTCTACTTAATATTTTATCTTATATTGTGCACTCACGGAAAATATTGTGCACCCAATTTATTGTGCACCACTAGTGCACCTATACCCAAAAATGAATTTCGACCTCTGGCCTTGACATTACGTACTGACGGCAAAGGAACTATCCCCTTCTTCCCAACCTAGTAGCCGGATGTAATTGCAAATTGAAATTTTGCTCTACTTTGATTTATGAAATGCGGCGCGGTTGACAAATGTACAGCGCAGAGTCAATGTCGACGGGCTGATTAAATTTGCTTGTTGTACGATGATCTAGCGTAAAGCAATCAAGCTAGCAGCTGTGTTGTCAGTTCTGATTTCAAAATGTTGGCGCTTACACATGCTTTATGTGTCATACTTCACAACACAGACTGTTTTATCTGAAAATGAAGATATTATAAAGATGTCTTTATTACCTTCGCCAAGAAGGTTATGTTTTCAGTAGCGTTTGTCCGTCTGTCTGTCTGTGAACAGCATACTAGTAACTCAAGAAGCTTAGTATGCATTGTCATGAAACTTGGTAGGTGGGTAGGTCTTAATGAGACCTAGAAATGATTAGATTTTGGGCCCCCTGGCGGCTTTTGTTGGTACTGCAGCAGAACTTCCGGTTTTGATATCTCGCGATCTGGACATGCTAGGGTCACGAATTTTGGTTGGTAGATAGCTCTTGAGGTAGGGAAGAAGTGACATGAGTTTGGGGCCCCTAGCGGCTTGTTCTGGAACTGCAGGAGCATTTGTTGAAACATTTTTGAAGGATGATAACTCAAGAACCGGTTGACGGATTGTTGTGATTTTTGGTATGTAGGTAGCTGAAGGGATGCTTGACATAATCAAATGACAATTATGCAAATCAGGAGCTAATTTGCATAATTAATGAGCAAATTCTATAAATCTGCTTTGTTCAATAATAGGACTATGAAACACTTGTGACATGTAATTGAGAATGAAAAAAAACATCTGAGGATATAGATTATGTAAATGAAGACCTAGTTTGCATAATAAATGGAAAATTTTAAAAACCTCATAGTTGTAACTGCTGGGAATTTCATACTTGCCACATTTGGAAGTTAAGTGAAGGCGAACAACAATAAACATAATTTATTCAAATCATGACCTCATTTGCATAATTTATGAGGAAGTGCTATAAAAGCCTTTTTGTTAAGATAAGACTGTCATTGGGTGGAGAATATGATCATCTGATGTAATCCATGCAAATGAGGCTCTTATTTGCAAAATCAATTATCAAAATTGTATTATTCTTCAACCGCAAGTGTTAACATCATTTGGCGAAGGTATGAGATCGTGGAACTCTTGTATTATAATGTCACCAGGCGCCACCACGTAAATCGTAATAAAGACTTCAAAATACAGCGTTTTTGCTTATGACGAGAATGTTGGTATTTGCCAAGGTTCTTAATTTCATTATTATTTATTATATGTGTTAAGTTTGGGAGAAAGGCTTTAACCCTGTACGTAGGCTTCTCTCCCCCCCCCCCCTGTATATTGTTTTCCCCTGTCATGCAATTATTTACTTATTCTGTTTACATTTTATTGTGCGAATAGATAAACAAAGAAACAAACCTACCTGCGGCGGCGATGGTCGTACTCGGCCCGGCGCCGTTCCTCGGTCAGGTCCCGCTGGAAGTCGCTCCAGCGGGGCGGCGCTTCCCTGGGCCGGGCCATGCGCGGCTGGGCCCACGGGCTCCCCTTCTGGTCTCCCCCCGTCACATCCATCGTGGATATCAATGCAGCCTCCATGTCAGGAGAGATGACGTTTTACAGCGGGAACCTTGCTCTACGTGTTGGCGACTTGCCTGCGTTCAATAAACCTTAACTTACTGTCTTTTAAGCTCATCTAAAAACTCCCTGAGACCACACAACCATCGTGTGGTACTGGTGGCTTGACGTACTTACAACATTGACGAAAACACTGCGCTTACGATCAAACTTCGTCAGCACTCAGATTGTCAGCCATAGCACCGAAACACAGACCCTTGTAAACGTATCCGTACAGGCCTAGCAACGCTCAACAATCTTTCACATACGCCACAGTCGGTCTTGGCAAGATATCAGCCTCACACCCGGCAGCCGCTGTACTGAGGTACCGCTAGACTGGTGTAACAAACGGCAAGGCACTGTCACACTGGTCATCTCAGTAATAAACCTACGTCAACAGTACAGATGCACCCTGGGCAATCTGTTGATGAGCATATCTCTCTAAGCACGGTGCTGGTGTGTGTGTACCGGGCCCTGTGCTGGTGTGTGTACCGGGCCTGTATGTCAGGAATGTTCCACATCACCATTAGAACATACGTGCAGCTGCAGTGATACACTCTTGCCCTCCCTAGTACGAACTATGTGTACCTACGTATATTTAGTAATCATACAGAACAATTTTATTCCAATGCTAAATTTACGGGTATACTTAGCAGTACAGGTATACGTATACGAAGCAGTTCTATTGGTACAACTTAACGATGTTTACCTCAATGATAAAGAGTTGTCAAATATAGCCATAAAATTGCTAAGTGTACAAATCAAATTACACTATATATGGTAAACTTGTCATCATTGTATAGAAGGAGAAAAAAATTCACTTTGACAGTGACGATGAACCTTTTTTTATTAGTCTCTACAGTTTGGGTCATTTTTCCAAACGGCACTGGACGTCCCCAAAGATCAAGTGTATATGTATAAATCAACCCTTTTTGTTTCTTGAAAAGGACAAACTATCACTTTTTATTGCATTGAAAGCGTTTTAAAAGGTTATACCTTCAAGGACAGCTCACTTAATCAAATAGCTTCTCTCCCAAGCAGAACTCACATCCAATAACAGAAACCGTGTTATCATCCACAGCTTAATTTTTGTAAATTGTAAATACATAAATCTGCGCTGCGGACCAATTCCGCTGGAAGTGGGTTTTAATGAATTAATAGAGTTCCATCCGTCAGGCGGTCCGTCCCCCGGGTCCTGCCGGCCCTTCCCGCCTAACCCAAGGACGTGTTCCCTCAGTAATTGACCTCCCGTAGATGATACACCGTTCACAAACTTTCTGCTGGCCTGTGGTTTGTGTTTAATTGACAGAGGTCAGAGCAGTCATTAGAGAGACCGTGGACCGCAGGCATCCCAATCACGCCGGACCAAAATAGCGCCCCCTATAAGAGGAAGAACTTTATTGCACGACAATTGTACAAAGTAAATCGCAATGCAACGACTACTGAACAAAGTACAAAAAGGGTATAGAATGAAAATTAACATCCTAGGTACTAAACATCTAGGGATGATATACTGTATGCAAATTGCAATTAAGTAGGACTAATTATCAAATATAGATGATGACCTGGATACAGGCGTGCCAGAGATGTGTGCAAATACGTCACTGGAACCAGTGCTGGTGTAGCACATTTCTGTATGTAGAGCGGTGTACCGGTAAACAGTGGGGTTGTGAGCTTTCGGCTCAGAACTAAGAGGTCCCGGGTTCGAATCCTGCCAAGCGCCAACCTTGTGCCCTTGGGAAAGGCACTTTACACGGCTTTCCTCACTTCGCTCAGGTGAAAATGGGTATGTCAGAATGATCATTATCACGATCGTGGGCATTAATAGAAAAACTTGCCAAACCAAAATATAACCTACGCCCACCATTACGGTCTAGACGGAATTTATGAATCAAGCAATGGGGTATCAGGTCCCGTTTCTATGTGATGTATGTGCCTGGTGACAGCAAGAGTGCTAAATCGTTCGACAGGGCCCTACTAGTATTCCTAAAATTTACCAATCAAAAAGTACAAAGACACACACGTGCACCCCCCTGCTTAGCCTGGGTGCCTTCGTAGTTGCTTTGCCTAGGCTCCTATACTTTCAAAGACTACCCTCTCCTCAATAATCTATAACGTATTGATGTCTTTATTTCAGGTATTTCATCCATAGAAAACAACGGTGCAAACAAAGAAACAAAAACTTGTACTGATAATCTGACTTCAGAAGACATTATATTATGCTGTTGTTGGTGTTGCATAATTTTCTGCGTCTGGCATCAAATGTGTCCGTTGACCGTTATGTTGTCATACTGTCAGCGTCGTACGTTTATGATCTAAATACCTGCTATTCAAAAAGAAGTCTTGAACGCCTTGTTTTCAAAGCGTCATCCATTCTAAAATCGAGTACTGGATTCTTGTTAGAGACTCAGAATAAACCCCCCCCCCATCCGCTGTGAGTATGCCCTGTCGGCTGACTGAAGTCGGCTAAGGTGACACTTGCCCCTCGTTCATCATAGTCAGGATAATTTTGTCAGGAAAATTGAACGCGCAGCAATCTCGTCTGCAGGGCGATGTTTTGTACTACCTTAGGCCACACCCAGTAAATCTTATGGATGACATTCTCAGCAGACTCCAAATCTAATGCGAGCGGGCGAAAAAAAAACAAGGTGGGCCGAAACAAGGTTCCTACATTTTAAAATTTTAACTCAATCATTGTACAAATGGTTTTGATTCAGTTGGAACATCGCATATACACAGCCACTGACATTACACATCACACACACTGCATCAAAGAAAGAAACAAAACATAAAATCAGAGCCTTTTCTTGTCTCCTTTCTTTATAGTTATCTGCCATCCACCTTCCGGCATGGCAACAGACATCTTTGCCCATTTTCGGCATGTTGACCACTGTCAAAAGGCAACAAATTTTTTTTTTCAAAATCAGGCGAAAATTAATGCGCGCGCTGATGTCATCCATACTTGCTGTGGCCTTATAATACAAGGCACATCCATGCTATCTGTTTGGATGACGTATAAACGATCTTTCCTATGATTTAAAAACCCAACCGCATACATATCCGACCACTGTGTGTGTGTGTGGGGGGGGGGGGTTATGTGTTATTCGTCTCTACATTTGGACTTTGAATTTGGGCCGTTCACGCTGGGTAGACTGTACAGTGTTTATTAGAGGTTACACGATGTAGAGGTTTGAGGGTTTCCGAATGGGTCAAACTCCGAGTCTGGAGTCAACAAAATGGACAAACACTCATGCGGGGAAACATGTGAGTTTGTTGGCGAATCTTACTACCGGTGAAAAAACAATATTGTCTTTTGTGCTTAGTGTATACACATCACAAACAACACTAGTTAGTAAAGTTTAAAAACCACACGGAAATCGCAAACTTATAAAACAATGTTTCTCACACGTTATGAACTTTTAATTTTGGATTGATATTAAACTTTTCACCATCTTTCTCTGGATATTCAAAGACAAATAAAACTATACTAATGGATAGATTACGGAGACCCGTCACTCTTCTTCAGCGTCACTAAAATGAACTGAGAGAACAAGTCGACAGTAATTACATGTGAAGGAACTGGAAAAAAAACAGTTGGACATGTTGAAATGAATTACTTTCTCAGAATGGCTGGAAGTTTGTCATGTCTTTATCAAACCGCAAGGTGGCGCAGGGCTAGGATAAAACCCAGTTAACATGGAGTTATGGCAATCTAAGTAGAACGTCACGACTAAAACAGGGAATCTTAGATCATTTTTCACAAGTCTTTGTTGTATAGGGTTAAGTGTAGGATAAAGGAACGATTTTAGCTTGTTTCTTTACCCTACTCTAACAGGTGGCCGTCACAATCACCCGGGCAACCGGGTCAACGTCCGTTAGGCCACAGCAAGTAATTTTTATGGATGACATCTCATTTTGGAAAAAAAGGAAATTTTGTTGCCCGCTGACAGTGGTCAACATGCCGAAAATGGACAAAGGTGTCTGTTGCTATGACGGAACGTGGATGGCAGATAATTATGAAGAGAGGAGACAAGACAAGGCTCTGATTTAATGTTTTGTCTTTTACTTTGATGCAGTGAATTTCATTCCTTTTATATGTGATTGTGGATGCGTTTTTCCCACTGAATGAAACCATTTACACAATAATCGAAAACTTTTTCAAAGTTGTTTCCGTGAAAAATGGATGTTGTGATAGTTGTCAGTAAACTTAAATAGCACACTATATGTATCATTTCCTGTTTAACAAGGTTTATGATGTCAAAATTTGAAAGTGAAGGAATCTTGTTTTTTGGCCTGCCTGTTTTTTTTTCGCCCTATGGCGTTAGATTTGGAGTCTGTGAGGGAAGTCATCCATAACATTTACTTCCTGTGGCCTAATGACGTTATGGCGTTGTGTAAGAGCGTTATGAAACACTGAGTAGTCTAATATTGAAATCATGATAAGAGTACCTCAGGTGGCGGGACATGTGAGTGTTGACCCAGGCTTGTGTGTATAAAGCCCATGACTGCAGGGTACAGATTCAGTTCACTAGTACCACAGTTGGACCTGCACCATGCTGCTTACTGTTCTTGTTGCCACAGTTTTGGCGTTGTCTGTGCCGGCCGTACAGGGACAGGTATACGGCTGGGGAGGGTGCCCAGATGTAAGTATACAAGGATCTTTTCCCGCCCACTACGAATAGTCTCTACCAGACTAACTACGCTGGCTGTATATAGTAGAATATTTGCCAGGGGAGTTTAGCCGCCTTGTAGGTTTGACTGGCCGCTTCGGAGGGAAAGAAACAACCTCCCCGCGGCCGGACTCCCTTGGCCAATTTTACTCTCTTTGTTGCCGAATTCAACTATCCGTATTCCCGTCGAAAGGCCTGGAGGAGGGTAGATGTTTTTACCGTATCATGTCGTATCGTACCATTGTCGTATTGTATCGTGTCAGATCGTTGAAGAACCGTATCGAGCCGAATCGAACCGGATCGGGAGCGTTCCCACTGTGGAAAATTTTTCCGGATCGATTCGGGTCGGGTTCGGCTCGATCCGGATCCATACCAGGAATGGGGTGGAATCTGACAACAAATAGAGAATGAAGTAAAAAAAAAAATCCTCTATTTGCTGTTAGATTCAACCCATAGTAACTTAATCAACGTTGAGCATAAAATGACCCAACGTACACCTCAAAACACAGTGAAAAACAAGCTGTTTAGCGTCACCAGGATCATTCCGATGCCTATGCAAATGATGTTTAGACCCCTGTTTTCGCAATGCATTCTGGGGATGGGGAAATTCGTGAATTGTGGGTAGGGAAATCACCCCAAGCCGACCCTAGGGTTTGGTACCAGGCTAGTTACAGTGTGGTTGGTTGTTTCTGTCTGCAGGTGTCCGTAGCACAGAATTTTGATGTGGACAGCTGGCTGGGCACGTGGATAGAGATCGCCCGCTTCCCCAGTAGTGTAGAGGAGGATGTGGACTGTGGAACAGACACGTACACCAGACTACAGGACGGCAGGATCAAGGTCAGCATTTCCACAAGTTCAAGTTTAAACGTTTACCAAGTCTTTTATATGAGTCGTTAACGTATGACTAAAGAGTTTAGGCCAAAGAAACGTTAGAGCGAAATAAAACCTAAGTCAGCTCATATAGGTTATTTCTGATAAGACCCAGGCCATGTAGATATGGATTACATGCGCGCGCGCATGAATTTTCGTCTGTAAAAAGCTTTCGATCATACTATAAATCATGCAAAGCATGTGCAAAATGAGCAAATATACATGCCATAAATTGAAAAAAAAATAGAAAACGATACTTATGTTGTAGAATACAATATATATATTAAAATCAATTCCAAATGAAAATGCGAAGAAATGAAAATGAAGAATCGAATCAGCATGACCTAACAGAGGTTGTCCATCTATTCTCAGCTCCAGTATAACGGCATCAGAGACGGGAAGGCGATAGACCATGTCGACCCGCTGTACGCCGACCCAAATACCGAGGAGCCAGCCAAACTTTCCGTGCCTTACTTCGGCCTCAGGTAGCAACAATTTTGTACATTTTTTGCTAAGTCCCCTCACAACTAAGCAGTTTTCGCCCTTAATTTGGCTTTTATGAAATGAAATTTAATGGCAAATCTCAGTGATGCTATAATCTTAGCATGGTGACTGTGTGGAACTTTCATGTGAGAGTTTGAAAGTCAAATTTAGACAATGTCGACATTGCAACTGTCAGGAAGAAATAGACTCCAACGTCTATATTTTAATATGTACGGCATTGTCGAATGTGCGCCTGTGCTAAAACACGTGCACCTTCCTCCCTGTGTTGTCCGTAGTTTCCTACCGGAGATGCCCTACTGGATTCTAGAGATCGACCACGACCCCGACACTGGCTACTTTGTCGGGTTTACCTGTATGGACGCCTGGGTTGGAAACATGCAGGTACATTAGTCACCGTATATAGTGACATAAGACCACTCCAATTTAAGTTGTTGGTTCTCGGATTTTTTCTGAAAAAATATAAAGCGACAGGGCGAAAAAAAACAGACCGAGGCATCCTGCAATAGCCCTAAATGCTATGATAGCAGCCAGAAAGTCAACATACATACCATGCTGGTTTGTAATTCAAACAATGATTTTCAAACTCTTAATCAAACCACTGTATTGATAGATGGAAAAACTAAAGCAACTCTGAAGATAAGTAACTTCTGTCAACTGTTGGGGCTAAAATATTAGCATTTTGGAGTTGATTCAGAGACTGAAATGTTTTTGTTTTTTTTTGCAAAATTTAGAAAAAAAACTAGAAAGGCCAATATTTGCTTTGGAGCAAATACAGCGATGGGTTCACCACATTTTACGACATGGCAGGGAAAGAATGAGAAACACAAGGGAAAACAATGATTTACATTGATATAACTATAATATGAAGTAACATACAACTAAAACAACAGTTGGATAGATATTCCCTTCTTTATTGGTTAGGATTTTTAATTGCATAATGCAAACTGTTGATTTTCAAAAAAAAAAACCTTCATGCCCCGCATTCCAATGCTGGAGCAGAAAAGCTTGAAATACCTACCAAAACACTTGAATAAAGACATACTGTCAGTATGGAAATGCTCTGTGCAGGTGTTAATCAAGTTAAATCCCAACAGCCAATCAGCAAGAAATGCTCTGTGCAGGTGGAAATGCTCTGTGCAGGTGTTAAGTTAAATCCCAACAGCCAATCAGCAAGAAGTATAGAGGAAAGCTGCATGCCTATTGGTTGATGCCCTGCATTCCATTGTGATGACTCATGCCCAGACGTGGTAAACACGGCACACTAACACAGTAATGCATTTGCTATAACACAGCCAAAAAACTAAATAAAACCATTCTAAAAGCTTGTATCACAAAAATTTAAAAAAACGCCTAGGGGTATTTGCCCACTGTACCTCCATACCAAATTTCAGGACCTTAGGCCCTAAAATGAAGAAGCTGAATCCGTTTAAACTAGAAAGGCCAACATTCGCTTCGGAGCAAATGTAGGAATTTCACTCCATACCCTTCCCCAAACAAAAATGAGAGATTCTAAATAAATCATACTGCAATTATACAAGGACAAGCTGTTTGAATCTCGACAGGTATTTACAAAACTGGCACTTGGCAATTATCTCCCTTTTTTTTACAAAGATACAACGACACGCACTTTAAATCTCGACAGCTTTACTTTATACTTTTGACGAGATTGTAACTACTACTAACGGAAGCAAAATTTTCACGGCCTGAGAAAATGGACATGTTCACGGAACTATATATTCACGGTGGTGACAGTTGCAGGAAAAAGAAAGCCCAGGAATTATTTCCTAACTGTAATGATAAGTTCACAATACAGAGGTGACAGTGAAAACCGTGAACATTGACCCCCCGCTTGCGTTGCGGTACAGTGAAAAAAAATCGGGAATTACAGCAATCAATTTACTGAGTATGTTTGCTTAGTTTCCAGATGTTTTGTACTTGTAGTTTTTAAATGAACGAAAACCGATGCGCGCACAGATGTTACTTTTGTGACAACATCAAAGTGATTTTGGTTTGTATGTTGAAAAAATACAAAAGACTAACATTCGAAGTTATTGAAATTCTTGAGTAAGAACAATCAGTTTTGGAATGTTAAAAGCAAAGCAATGGATATTAAAACGAAAATGTTAAAATTAAATGTTGAAATTGTTAAAATGTAAAATGGTTAAAATGGTTAAAATTGATGAAATTGTTAAAAATGTTAAAATTGTTAAAAATTGTAAAAGGGATAATTAAAAATATCCAGTGTACCGGGGTTCGAACTCGTAAATGTCTGGACTTGCAGCCCTGCGCGTTACCAACCGAGCTATCTGGACACGTTTCCATTACTCTCTGCATTGTATGTCATATAAAGTGAACAACATGGCGGTAACGATCGCTTCAAGTACTAGTAAGGGACTTTCTAGGAGATTTCCTTCTACAATTTTGGTGATTCTTCATAATAATACTAGTCGGTGAAGATTGTGGAAAATTGTTGATACCGTGGCGCGCGCGCGTGCGCCGACAATACACATTACGTACCGTTGTTTACAGTACTCGCGGGGTGCAGGTCATTGACCTCCTGCTTGCGTTGTTCCAACAGAGAAGAGCAAAATATCTGCCAGTTTTTGCGTCAGATTTTCAGTGTTTGTTAAAATCATATACAGGCATCCATGCAGCTATAATTCTTCCAACTAGTTCGTAGTTAGGTGAAATGTTTATAGGAATCACACGAATCGGTATCCAATATCAGAGTATCATGGCCCACGGCCGAGACCGCGTGGACCAGCCGCGCTGGTAATCCCCCTATTGTACGTGAAAATGGTAGTAAATAAATTAATTAGCCAACAGCCAATCAACAGCCACATCTGCAAACATGACCACACCTGCTTGTATGCCCATATTTGGGCCTTCCCCCGAATTCCCCCCCTTTCTTATTACGTCACGCGCGTACGCCCCCACAGTACTTTCCTATGGGGACCACTAAAAAGCAAATAAAACGATTGTAAAAGCTTACATCAAAAAAATTAAAAAAACGCCTAAGGGTATTTACCCACTCTACCTCTATACGAAATTACAGGTAATTTCGCCCAAAAATGAAGGAGTTGAATCAATTTAAAGAAGTGGCAGGAGAAGAAGAAGAAGGAGAAGGAGAAGGAGAAGAAACATCAGAAAAAGCAATATGGGTTCACCACCACTTCGTGGTGTGGTGAACCCATAATGAGGCGGGCGAATCCGTAAACCAACAAATTAAGATGGTGTGGCCTAAAGAGTCTATGTACTCTGTATATCGCGTTATATTTCTGTTTGGTAATGTTATCAAGTTTTGTCTCGTTCTCTCTGTAGATTCTTTGGATCTTCAGCAAAGAACGCGAGATGGACGAGGAGAGACTGAATGGCATTCTGGGAAGGCTGGAGGATCACGGGATTGACACCAGCAAACTGGAGTACGTCATACAGGACGACACCTGCCCCGCACTGCCCTGAGGACGACACCTGCTCTGGGAACGAGACGTCGTCAAGGGTCGCCATTTTCCGCTAGGCATTGACATTTCGTCTGTGTAAAAGACTTTTTTTTTTCAATTCGCCATTAAAAAATATCATCCTTACACGGGCCCAACATTGCGTTAACGCTTTGAAGATCGATGTGATGGTAATATAACCATAATTCTAAGTTATCACAGTGACTGTGTCACAGATATTTGAATAAAAACTCATATATTTCACATCATGTTCTATGGTTTATTTTACCAGACAGAAACAACGTCTGCAAAAATGTCTGACTATGTAAAACCTTTGATAGTTTTCATGCGGCCAGCTAGAATTTGACAATATTACGGTGACTAAACAGCCTTTGGGCATGATTTTGCAAATAAAGCATAAAGGGTTAATGTCTCGCCACGAGGTGTATATGGTGAGATAATCCCTGGTCAGGTGTGATAATACGCTCATTCGGTGGTTTGAAGGCGGGGCGTTAACGTTATTACAAAATGTATCACATAGCCTGCGATATCTCCTCTACGTGGACTACTTCGCCGCCCAATGCCGAAAAAACAACCACCTAGTCAGTTGAAGCAGCCAACGACCATATGTCACCGTACTCAGCTGGCAGATTAGCATCACCCAATGCAGGAAATAGAGTCAGGTGGGCATTCTGGATTCACCTGGGAAAAAACATGTTAGGTCAAAATACTGTGGACAGTGCTCCCTTCTCTACTGACAAAAACATGCACAACAAAACCGCTAGGTACTAGGTCAGCACTGGGCTCCATGACTACATTTCACACTGACTAGATTGAAGACAATTTTAGTATCGTCATTCAGTCTGACAACCCTGGGACCTAGTCTCAATCAGACTAACTACGCTGGCTATATATAGGAGAATAATTGCCAGGGGAGTTTGGCCGCCTTGTAGGTTTGACTGGCCGCGCAGTTCGGAGAGAAAGAAACTACCTCCCTGCGGCCGGACTCCCTTGGCCAATTTACTGTTTTTTGACGAATTCTACGATCCGTATTCCCGTAGAAAGGCCTGGTGGAGGCTACCTGGGACCATTTTTCTGACACTAACCCTCTGGAACAGCCAGAAATTTAAAAAAAACGTCTCAATGAATCTTTTTTTGGTCGATCCCGTCTTTTTTGGATAAAGCTGCAAATTCAGTAGGAAATTACTAGAAAGGTGACATTTGCTTTTGCAAATGTATTAAAATGTTTACCTTCGTATATGGTCAGCTCTGTTAATTCTTACTCAAACAAATTCATATATACGGTGATAGGAGTCTAAATATCTCCTGCTACATTATGTAGCTCAACACCAGTTACCATGGTGGCAGACGTCTGGTTCAGGTCATTGACCTTTTGTGTTTGGAGAAGAGGAAACTGAGCAAATTTTTTCCTTCTGTAAATATAACTAGGTACATACAGAACGTACTGTGACTTACACAGATAGTCTCCGTTTTACACAGGCAAGGGTCCAGGGGACTGGTGTCACAATCCAGACCGTCAGCCGTCACACACTCGTTTATAACGATATGGCAGGCCCGCTTCTCTCGAGGGAAACTCTGAGTCAAGATAAACAGATAAATATGCACAACAGTCAAGATATACAGTCAAGAAAAACAGATAACTTTACTTTATTCTTTATTACATGTCTCCATTGGCCATATACTAAGTAAAATAAAACATACAAATAGAAACATAACAATTAGGTGTATGATTTCTTACAGTCTAAACAGAATGGCATAAACGCTTTTTTTGACGTGACGATGCTGACTCAAGATACGAGTACAGTTTATTTCACGTTTCACATTTTGAAGTTGGGCACAGTCACTATTGACTTTAACTAGTTACATTCAAGAATTGCAAAGTTAACTCTTAACTCATTATTATATACAAAATCCTACCATGGCAGCTCCACTCAATATCAGAACCACGAACAGGACAGACATTGTGTTCCAAGACATCTTCGGTTACTAGTAGCTCGTCTCAGTTCAGATGCTGGGTACAGCCATGGAAAACACATTGGAGAAATATGCTGTAAGTACGTATATATACAGCTACAAATGAAGGAAAGTAGAAAAAGGGAAGAGCTTGCAGTAACCTACAATATTCAACAGCAAAATGCCAAAAAAAGTCCCCTTTTTCTTATATAAGTTGGACAGAATTTCACTGAGAAATATCTGATATGATCTTTCTTCCTACCTTCAAATTTGCGCCCAGAGAATTCCTCCAGCAAAAACACAAGCTGAAACTAAATCCAAAGTAGCAGGAGTCTAGAGTCTAGTCTTGTATGCATGTATTCATTAGGCCACAGCATGTAAATTTTATGGATGACATCAGAACGTGCATGAATTTTCACCTGATTTGGGGGGAAAAAACAAGAAACTTTGTTGCCCTCTGGCAGTGGTCAACGTGTCAGAAATGGGCAAAGGTGTCTGTTGCCATATAAGGATGTATATTGCAGATAAATTTGAAGGGAGGAGACAAGACAAGGCACTGATATGTGATGTTCCCACTGAATCAAAACCATCTGTACAATGACTGAAAACTTTTATTTTTCAGTGAGAAATGGATGTTGAAATAGTTGGCAGTAAACTTAGCAGTAGTAGGTCAAAATTTGGAAACAGTGTAGGAATCTTGTTTTTTGGCCCGCCTTGTTTTTTTGACAGACATCCCTTTAGATTTGGAGTCCATGGAGGATGTCATCCATAAAGTTTACTTGCTTTTGCCTTACAGAAGCAGACAGGAAATTTGTTTTGCACAATTTTCTTAATTGGCAACAATTATAGCTAGCAAACAGAGACATCTGACCTGTACCGGCAATCTGCATTGCAACTTGGTCTTGTGACTTGAACTTGAACATAAATCCTGAGGATGATTGTTTCCAATATCACTCATATTTAGGCAGATGTGTTCTGGCATTGGTTTATTCATTGTTATGTAATTTTTAGGCAGCCTTTTTTACTGGCTACTTTGCTACATCTGCTTGGAGATGTAGTGATGCAACCAGTTACAATGTTGTGCAATGGTTATTACAGATGGTGGTTTAGAATCAGCAAAAATTTACAGACTGAGCAAGTAGAACATTGAGTGGACACTAGTACTATTGGTTATAATAATCGTATGAACGCTAACGTATACTAGTACTGTATATATATATATATATAGTAAGGGATTTTCGATTCTTTTTCTCAATAAATGCGTACAACAGACGTAAGAGTTATTCTTCCTCTGTCTGCATGCTGAGTTTTCAGAATGATAGCGAGAATAAAGTTTTATAATCATAGATGATGCGGGCTAAGGCCACACCATGTAAATTTTATGGATGACGTCCGCGCGCGCATTGATTTTGGCCTGTTCCTAGAAAAAAAAACAAGAAATTCCACTTCCTGTAACTATGACCAAAGAGTCACGACAGTGCCGCAAATCGTCAGATTGACCTGAAACCCGTAACGCGAAATGGGTAAAGGGCACAAAAATGTGATGAAAGAAACAGGACAGGACGACAACTGCTGTTCCACCTGATTTATTACTGTTTTGATTATGAATGAAAGACTTCTTGCTTGTTACACTGTGTCACCTCATTCAATTTGTGTCCTAACATTTGTCGTCTCTTAGTATATTTCTAATCTAGGCATCTTGTTTTTAGGGCCCTTCTTGTTTTTTTTTCGCCCTCTCGCATTAGATTTAGGATCTCCAAAGGACGTCATCCATAAAATTTACTTGGTGTGGCCTAATGCAAGACCACTTCGCGAACAAATAAATTCAGTTCTGCCTAACTGATCACTTGTCAAAAGCGACATCTGGCGATTTCTCTTCAAGGTAGGCCAGGTGACGCTCTGGAGATCGATGTGCACATGCGTCACTCCGCTTTTGCTATTGAAATTTAATTATAATTCTTCATTCTGATAAATAATATACAACTTAATTATTTATGTGTGCTATCAATGATAACCCGTTCACAGCAAGTTCCGTTTCATGTATAACGGCTTCAGTGAATTAAAGATCGACGAGACAAATGTTTGAAGTTGACTTTGAACAAATGTTCGACAAATGGATAAAACCCATCCGTATCAAATTCGGTAAAATTATAACCGGGCCAATACATCCCATAGGCAACGACGTCATCATACTAGTAATAACCATACAAATTATATAACATCTCTGGATATTAAAATCACTCAAGTCACGAAATCGTTTAATCATTGATATCGATGGTGTCGGTGGGTTCGTCCGTTGCAAGAGCGTTTCCCATACAGGGGTTGAAATAGACACAATAGGAGGTCCGGGACCTTCGGCCAAATTTGTAAACCAAGATTTTATTGGTCAAACCCACATGTAATACTAGTAAGTCTTGGCCAATGACAGTGTATACGGACCAGCCATCGCATGTACATGTTTTTTTATTTATTTATTTATTTCTTCATTAGGCCACACTTAATTTTATGGATGTGTAAGATTTAATTTTATGGATGTGTAAGAAACCAGGAGGAGACAGTAGAAACAGATAAAAACCCCTTGCTCCCGGGCCACAGTCAGACGCTCTAACTGAGTGAGCTAAAAGGTCTAGACCCATTGGCTGGGTCAGTTGGTAGCGCCTATAAACCCCCAACTGTGACTGTGAGATGACCTCCGCTCGAGCATTGATTTTCGCCTGTCGCCCTCAAAAAAAAAAAAAGATCAAGTCCACCGAGGCTCTAGGCCTGGGTAGTCCATGGTAGTCAACGACAAAACGGAGCCGAGCACCCAGCAGGCTATCGAATTTGAAGCTCCACGACTCAAGAACTCAGTACATAGTACAGTACCGATTCATAAATGCCGCAAAAAGCCAGCATGTGCCGGCTTGTCATATACGTCGCTATGTACTGTCGCGAACTTCACAATACCAGCTTTGTATTCCTGTGGTTCAGTAGCATTTTTATTTTTGGCCGGAATTTTTTTTTATTCGCCCGTGCGCACTAGTTTGAGGGTCTTCAGAGGATGTCATCCATAAAATTAAATCGGTGTGGCCTTACAATGAAAACATACATCAATTACAAAGGACATTTACATGTGATACAGTGAGAAAATATCTAAAATCATCAGCAATATTACATCAGTTGTCCAACTCCTGGTTCAAAAAAATATATTGTTTCATTTTTAAATATGGAGGCAAGTGATTGACCGTTCCCATCTTTCTTTCCATCACACCATGTCCTCCAGATTACGTATTTTGCTATGTTAATTGTAAGATTATTTTTTCTACATGTGTTAGGCATGTTAGATGACTGCGTTCTGTAGCCTAATATTATGATATCCAAGTGAAGGGAAATGTACGGGTACGGAAAGTCCTGCGGTAGAAATACAACGGTAGAACTGCAGTGCCGGGAACTGGTACCGTTGTGGCAGCCCTACTGTCTTGGAAAGTCTACAAGCCACTTGTAGCCAGTGTGAGATGTTTCAGTCAATCTGTCAATTTGAATGGTACACGTAAAGGGTCAGCTTTTTTGTCATATCTATGAGCGAAAAAAAAAAAACCATGAACGTTATATGTAAGCTGTCTGCCCTAGGTAGAATCGATATCGTCTAACTTGAAGTGTTGATGGAGATGAACAGGTATCTACAAACATAGGAAATTTTGTTTCATTCTTCAACTTTTAAATTTGAAGCCGAAGTTTCCACTGATAAAGTGCATTCAAAAGTTTGTGCTGTGGGCTGATCAAAAGGATCGCCTTCTTTTTTTTGCTAAAAAATCAAGCCGAGGAGCTTGATCATACTAAAGAAGTTCCGAAACTGAAATATAGCTGCGAAGCAAGGAATCCCGAGAGTGCTATTAAAGTCCGTGTCATATTTAAGCTAGATATAACATAAAACGTCCAAATAAAAATGACTGACTCCACAAATAACTGTTGAGACTCAAGAAAAACGCTTTACTATCCAACCACCATCATCATTTTCAGCTGCGTCATCGTGACTTTGGCCGCAAGGTGGCGCTTTTCAGTGCTAAAAACCGGTTCAAACCGGATCCTGATACCTGATTAATTATTCATATGTTTAGTCTTTTGTTTACAATCAACAATGATGCTGGGCAAGGCCTTTTCATCGCGCTACGTACCTTCTTCATCAACTAGAGTCCGTCCCGTATGAAGACAATGCCACAGAACTACTGCATCAGGCAGGAAAGCGGGGTTTTGTTGGCGGGTTTGGGTGAATGACCTCGCTTTCCCGCCTGTGTACTGGATAAACAACGCGGGTAAATAAAAACAAAAGAGCCCGGATGTAAGCATGGGTTAGCCCGCACGCATGCGCCATTCATGCGACCAACATGTCGGACGATAATTCGGTAAGGGCGGGAATTGGGGAGAATTTTGCCGATTTTGGTCAACTGTCGCCTACATTTTCGTTAGATTTCGATCTCCAGAAATGTGATACGGTGTATGTGTCTTCCTCTTCCATTTCTGTATCATATTTTGTTACAAAACTCAGTAAAACGAACTTATTGTACGTGATTTCTTTCAGGATGCGAAGCCGGCAGAGGGTTCTGGATCGGGGGACCAGCAGTATATCAAGCTCAAAGTTATGGGCCAGGTAAAAATCACCATAATCTTCTGATAACGTCCAATATATGAAATATTTATCATAGTTGTTCTAGCTAAGTCCCAGCGTTCTGAGACTGTGGGAAGATGGCGCGGTTTCGCTGTGGGGAGGGCTGGAACCGAAAGTGTCAAGAGCGCGCCATTGTTTACAGTGGCTAACATGCACCACATGTGCCGGCGTCTCGCTCCCCAGCCCTCACAGATAGTCAGCTATCACAGGAACCAAAACTCTCCGGACTCAGAACGCTGGTGTTTTGGTGGACCAAGAAAAGATCTGTAAAAGCAACTTGAATTAGCTTGGATAGACAATTTTTTCTCCAGCTTGCTCGGCCCATGAATGTAACGCGTGGTTCTAACAGTCACGGTGCTAAAATGTCCTTAGTTTCTTCACTAGTACTAGTCCACCAAAACAGCATTATCTGTCGCGCTTTGATCGTGATACGTACAGTTAACACACCTTTGCTATTGTATCTTGTTAGTATAAAAATATGTCCAGCCTTTGTGTAGGTGAAAATCTGACGGCTTCACTTGATGTGGCCTGTGGGGCCCTGTAGGGGGTAGTGATAAAGCTCACACGTGTGGGGCCCCGGAAGGGGGAGGGGGGCACAGCTCTGGTCAACAGTTACATAAAAGTCCATACGGACTGGATATCTGAAAAAGAAATACTTAGGCATTGGGCCTTCTCTTCATAGTTGAATACCTTATTTCTATGTTTTGTTTATTTTCTATAGGTTACTAGGTAGGCCAGATGTGTACTGTTTAGCTGAGGGGCCCATGTTGTTGTAGGGGTTGTTCTTCAATATGTCAATGTGGAACAAAGTCCATAAGTCAGACCATAAATATTTATAACCTAATTACTTTTGATGCAGCTTCTTATGGATACAGGGTTGGACAAGTTTTCAAAAATCCACTTGCCCTATCGGGCAAGTACATGGTCATTTTCACTTGCCCGAACCAACTTTTTACTTGCCCAAAACATGACGCATTTCTGTGCATTTTACTAGCAGAAAAAAAATTATTTCATTATAGAGTTTATAATGCTGGATGCTTTATTTATCAAAATTGTTTGAAACTTGGTCGAAATACTGCAGGGGCTAATACTTTGCATCCAAAAATTGTACTTGCCTTGGGGGATATTTACTTCATACTTGCCCGAACAGTACTTTTACTTGCCCTGGGCAAGTGGGCAATGGGACTTGTCCAACCCTGTATAATATCAGTGTAATTTGGAGAAGTACTAGTAACATGTTTAAACAGGAAACTAGAGTGTTAACTGTACTGTGACATTGTAAAACAGGAAGTATACTATAGGTAATAGAACTAACTTCCACATGGGTTCTGGGGAAAGCCGAAAGCAAGATCATGAAAAGGTCCTTGTGAAAAACAATAATATGTTGCAAAAAATGACATAAATATTAGACATTAATGATACTAATTCACCACAAGGACATTTAGCTTTGTAGCTTACTTGTAGCAATTTTGGTGGAATATTATACAAAACATAAGTTTCACCTGAAGTCAATGAAAAGGTCTGTGTTTGTCATAGCAAATAATTCACAAACTTTGCAGACATACACATGTTTGCCATTTAGATAATCTTGTAATGATATACTGTAATTCCTGATTTTTTCAGTCACTGTACTGTTATGTTCACTGTTTTCACTGTCACTTCTGTACCATGAACTTATCATTACAGTTAACAAATACTTCCTGAACTTTCCTTTTTCCTGCACCTGTCACCAACATGAATGTATGGTGAACATTTTTCTCAGACTGTGAACTTTGGCTACCGTGAACATAAAGTGAATTACAGTACTAGTACTCGGTCTATGCATTAGTACATTGTCCAAATGTTCTCATCAATATTTGATAGTTGGACTGTGTCCAATAGTGCCCTTGTGTCAGTTGGTATTGTAGTCTTCATCAGTCCTTGGGGCTGGGTCTACTAACGTTCAAGGTCAAACCAAGCTGGAGCTGGAAAGATAGTTACTTCGACCTTGAGAAATGTCTAACATATGTGACAAAGCATTTTCTACTTATACAAACAGTGTTGTAGAAGTACTTCGTATGTACTTTTGAGCTAATTTGGAGCATGACGGAAGTATGACTTCAACATTTTGTGCCAACGTGTGCCCCCCCCCCTTGCATCACCACTTCCCCCTCTTAGGCCACACCAATTTAATTTCTTGGTTAACGGATTCGCCCGCTTCATTTTTTTCTGATTTGGAAATAAAAATAAAAATTCAGAATCAACTGCAAAATGCTCATATTTTGCCCTGAACAGTTGAAAACAGTCCTTTTCATCCTATTTGTTACAGTTATTCCATCTTTCAATGCAATGGTATCATTGAAAGTTCAAAATTCATTGTTTAAATTTTGAACCAGCCTGGTGTGTTGACTTCATGGCTCCTATCGTACCACTTTGGGCCATAATAGGATGCTTAGGCCTGTTTTTTTTTGTTTTTTTTCACCCGCCCGCTCCATTATTTTTCTAGAAAAATCCGTTAACCAAGAAATTAAATTGGTGTGGCCTTACCGTGAAATTCCATGAATTTCCAGTATATAAACACTATTTGTTTTCTGTTTTCAGGACAACAGTGAGATCCATTTCAAGGTGAAAATGACCACCCAGATGAGGAAGCTCAAAGAGTCATACTGTCAGAGACAGGTCTGTATTGTTGGTTCCATATGAATCTGATGTAAAGAAGTTGTAGTGTACATTTTAAAACACTGCACAGTTTTATTTTTGTGGTGACCCTATTGTAAAATGTAGCAAGTGTATGAACGAATTTGCAAACATTGTACATTGAATACGGTGGAAGACGAAACACATTTTATATCAAATTGTACCCTCTATAGCAATGAACAAAATGAACTCTTTGATGTAGCCTCCAAATTCTACCCAAACTTTCACACATATGCAAATGAAAGAAAACTACTCTCCTCTTAACATCCGAAAACCCACAAATTACAGAAAAAGTGGGGTCCTTTGTCTTCCTCTGTCTTCAAAAAAGAAGTCAAACCCAGTAGTTTTTACTAGTAGTTTCTTAGTAGTTATCAGTAGTTCTATATGTACTAATTGTCTGTTTTTATACCATATGTTTCTTCTGTTCCTGCAATTAGCCCTCGGGCATGAATTTGCAATAAAACAATTATTGTTTTTTAATCCTGTGACGAGATGAATCTGATGATTAAAGGGAAAGGTGTGTCCAAATATGAGTCATGGAGATGTCTATAATAACTTTATTATGATATTTTTTCTTAGGGAGTTCCTATCAACTCATTGCGGTTCCTATTTGATGGACAGCGCATTAACGATGACCAGACACCAAAGGAGGTAACATACACCTTTTTTTTGTTTGTTTTTCCTAAAACGTAGTCAAATTGTTTGTTCATAAATACTCTGTTGATGTGATGCATATATTTTTTTTTTTTAATCTTTCTTTATTTGAGTTTTATAAATGAACAAAAAAGCATGGCAATATATAACTGATACATTGTCGTACCACAAAACAAATAATAATAAACCTGGGAACAGAAATAGCAACCCCAATGGCGAAAACATATATCATTTATCTTTTAGAGTAGATCACAAATTCATCCTTTAGAATAGATCACAAATTATCTATATAATATATTATCTATTAGTTGCCTACTACATGTGCCTATACATGTGCCTAACAGAAAATACAGTATTAAAATTCCCCCATTTTCCCTTATGTTTATGTACTTTATCTTGTCTGTATGCAATGTTCAATTCTAGTTTGTAAATATAGGAAACAAAGGATTTAAAAGCAGACAGATTTAAAGAATATTTCTTATGTCTAAAAACAAATATCTTCCCAAGAAGAAGAATAACATTGGACAGAACAGGGTATATTTTATTGGAGGTCAAAAATATGGTCTGCATATGACTAATGAACAGGAATGATAACAGCAATTATGAAAAACAGTATGATTTGTATCAGAACATGTTTTGTTATAGCCTTGTTAGCTTTAGTCCGCTCCCCAAGATCTACTAACAAGGCGAGACTCCAGGCTAGTTTTGTTAGCAATACATGTAGCGGGAAGATGTTCAGAATTTAGCCTCTACCAGGCTTTCGGAAGCAGCTGGAAAGAGTAGAAATTGACCAATAGAGAGTTCTACTCTTTTCAGCCACCTCCTGAAGCCTGGTAGAGGCTAGTTCAGAATGTCTACCAGCTTAGCAGTAGGAAAAACAGCTGTTAGTTTCAGCTCAGACTAACGTTGTGTTTGTATCCTCTTCCTTCCCTCCACAGTTGGAAATGACAGATAACGACATAATAGAGGTGTACCAGGAGCAGACAGGAGGGGGGGAACACTGAACCAAGGCAGCTTCCTGCATTCCAACCAACCCTAAATCACACTATCGGTCCATGCAAGCTGACACATCTCATCCCCGCTGTAGATACCATGGTGCAGTCCTATTCTACCACATGTTTCAAACAGACTGTGCAACAAGTGATCAAGATATTATCCCACAGTTTGTCAATGTAGTTTGTATTGCAGCTTTGTAAGAACATGCTAGTTGTGGACTCCTTCTTTTTACGTCATGTTACTTGCATTTATTAAAGAGCAACTGTGGTAGAATTATGTTACTAAGTTGTATCACTAGTGGTGATGAGATTTGGCAGAGTTATCAAAGAAGCTGGTGTTTCCTTCTGCAAGGACACAGCAACTACATTTGCATCTCTTGCTTTCCCCTTTTCACAGCATAAGGTACCCAAACAGGAGAAGTAGCAAGTTTTGCTTACAGTATTTTAAGGAAGAGGTTTTTCACTGGGGCAAAGGTGGAAAAGAGTAAGGAAATACAAAAGTAGTTGTCCCCATATGGCTGCTTGCTTTTTGAGAAAGTTTGGTACAATGTTTGCTACCACTTTTTCTACTGTGATCAAGGGGAATAGCAAGACAGAGAGGTTAAAAATATTCTTTTATTTTAACATTAACATCTAGTGATATGTTGTAATGTCCCCAGTGGCTTTGGGGTTTCAGTGCCTCATTGTCTGTTGATGCCCTAAAAGTAAAACAGAGAGAGAAAATGTACACAATGTTACATACTGTTACTTTCTTAGGCTTTGTTTTCTAAGTGTATAGAAGTTGTTGTGTTGTTGAAAAGGAGATTGATGTTTAGCTGTAGTTGTAGAATGTTTTTTTTTCCCCTGTATGATAATCTTTACAAAACAGAGTACTTGTCCTGTGATTCAAACTGTGACATACCCTCAACAGACATCTAAAGGAACAGATAAATAAACCTTTTTTGAATATGTATAACTAATATTGCATTCATACAGAACACCTCTAAGCATCCTTTCTAAAGCAATCAACATGCAGCTTGTATCTTTTACTAGTTTCAAAGATGCCCCCATTATTTCTGCATAAGAATTGTGACTTGTTATTATGGTACAAGTAAGCAAGCTTCACCTGAAGTTAGAAGTCTTTGGAGTTATACGTTTTACCACTGTCAGTCCTTGGCTTCATTTTGTGATCATCAGTTGGATTGGCTACCCTGTAATATTTTTTAAATCTTCTGGAAGGATATGTATTAGAGAAGCCAGGGCTTGAGTCTGGTAAAAAGTGTAGATTCAAAGAAGACAGGCCAAAATTCGTAGTTCTGACACCCCGGCCATGTTATGTAAAGTAAATCATGCTCTGGTGCCCACCAGAAATATTATACTAGTAACCAGTTTGGGGGAGGGCCTACATTTTTGTTATTACATGTCCACATGATGGTATCCAATAAAACGTTGTTTCTTTACATAATCTGAAAGCTGTTCTTCTTTTGCCATCCTGAACTGAGGTGAAGAATAATGCCTTTCCCAATCTTGGGAACCGTAGATTCCATGTTGCTATGGCTGTTATAAATGCAATTTATTGGTAATTCCCAAACTCTTGACAACATGCGCCCCTAGGAAGTGAATATGCCTCTGCAGATCTATTCACGAAAGTGGCCGGAGTTGGCACCTATGATTATACATCATGGTAATACATATAACCAAGGTCAGCCATCAGGAGGCCCATATTTGACCTTGACCTTTGGCTTCCTAAGACTTACCAGCATACCAAATATCATCACAATCCATAAAGGCGTTATGAAGTTATGCTGACTACAAATGTGTGGAAACACAAGCACACACACACACAGACAGACAGACACACAGTTAATTTATAGACATGTATGTACCTACACGTTTTAGTACATACATGCTTACTGTGCATATGTTCACTTTACCTTTAATACCTAGTCCATCCTATCCCATATGTTCACCACATAAGGCCACAGCAAGTAATTTTTATGGATGACACCAGCGCATTAATTTTCGCCTGATTTTGGAGGAAAAAAACAAATTTTGTTGCCCTCTGACAGTGGTCAACATGCCGAAAATGGGTAGAGATGGCCTTCACCATGCTGGAACGTTTGTGGCAGATAAATATAGAGACAAGACAAGGCTGTTTTGTCTTTTACTTTGATGCAGTATATTTCATTCCTTTTATATGTGATGGCGGCTGTGTATACTAGTATGCCATGTTCCCACTAAATCAAAACCATCTGTACTTTTAGTTTTACCTCCATGAACAATTGAGGTATTGTTTTTGGCGCGTCTGTGTGTGTGTGTGTGTGTGTGTGTTTCCGCACATTTATAGTCAGCATAACTTCAGAATGCCTTTATGGATTGTGATGATATTTGGTATGCTGGTAGGTCTTAGGAAGCCAAAGGTCAAGGTCAAATATGGGCCTCCTGGTGGCTGACCTTGGTACTGCAGCACAACTTTTGTATTTTGAGGGAAAACAGATGTGCCGATTATTTAACAAAAACCTGTTATTTTGTTCTTTACTGTAGTGTAGTGTACAGTGTAAAAACATTTACAAAAACTCATATAATTCATGGAGGTTTGAGATCTCCGAATTCTTGTTCAAAGTTGTTTCAGTGAGAAATGAATGTTGTTATAGTTGGCAGTTAGCTTAGCACAACAAAGTATCATTTCTTGTTTTACCAGGTTTATGATGTCAAGATTCCAAAATGTAGGAATCTTAGACCTGAGTACCATGGATTTCATCCAGCCTTTAACTTCCACTTGGAAAAACAGAGGTTCAACTTTTGGTAGCAAGAATTATACAAGCAAACACATTTATACACAATGATAGATCAACACAACCTTTTTTTTTTTAAGTTTCAAACTTTATTCAACTTAAACCCAACTGCTGTACAACACAGTCCTGTCAACTTCCAAAGGCTGGAACCAGTGAGATATGTACATATACTTTTGTTTCCAAGGTAAGGGTGAGTATGAAATGCTACAATACTTGCAGCGTTGTTTAGTGGTAGTGGCCATGTGTCAGAACACTTGTAAGCAACATACAGTATATCAAGATACAGGTTGGCCATATTTACTTAAAACAGTACGACAAGAGTAAGAAACCAATTCTGACCAGTAGTGGTGCATACCTAAACCCACATTTAGGTTCAGGTCCGGATTCAAGTCCAGAGGTTTAGGTTCAGTTCTGGACTTGTGAGTCCGGACCTAAACCCATGGTATATACAAAATTGCATGTCGGCAACCTTGCAATGTTGTCTGGGTGAAACTTTGGCCACATAACATGGAGGCCGGTACTTGACGATGCCCGATGGCAATGTTTTCTTGATTTCAGCAAAGATTTTGCAATCTACGGAAGGTTTTAGGTGGTTTGGAAAGAAAAGGGGTATGTGAAATGGTCTTTTATGGTAATAAGTCTGGACTCAGTTCTTGACTTTTAGTTTTTTTGGACTTGAACCTAAACATTCTTACAAGTCCGGATCCAAGTCCAGTAAACTGGTATGCACCACTACTGACCAGTGAAGTCTTGCTGACAATGCTAATCTGAATAGAACATGAAGATGTTAATGATATTTTAATGCCAAAGTCTTTTTTCTGTGCAGCTCAAGCCTGGAACAGCCCCTGATGAAACAGATAGAGGCGTCAGGATCTAGTCATTGTACACAAGTGAGGCTTGCTACATACATACATGTACACTACACACAGTAACAAAAATCTGTTGTCTGTTGTTAAGAGTTCAGCTACTTTTTGGTCCACACTGGTTCTGACAATTTTGTTAAGTAGACACAGACTATTAAAAACATCTACATCTGAAGCTTATAGTTTTTTTTCTTATTTTCTTAGATGTTCACAAAAATAGAGGCTTCATTTCTTACTTGTCAACAAAAGGTAGCACTGGACACTACTATCCCGGTATTAGTTACATTAGACAGTCGCTGCATCGGACAACCTGAGTTTCAACATGGGCCAGGCCCAGTCTTACATCTGTACACTTTTGTTCCCACCTCCTCAAGAGATGGTACAGTCTAGTTCTATACATGGGCTATCTCATTCAGAAAGTCTACGGGGGGAATCTGCACTTTACATTTTCAATCTGTTGGCCATTCACCTTTACATTTTGTGGTCTCCTTCTGTTCTGTCTCCCTAAACCTGACAATGGAACAGCCCCAAACGTGATGGTACAACCCTGTTTGAACATTACACACTAGTAGGACTGGACAACTTTAACAATTCCATCTCTCTCTTCTTCTAATCCTCTATACACAGTTGAGTCTCTGTTATGGGTTTCAAACTGCCTGCAGTAGAGACATGACTACCGTACTTCTTTTTTTTATTTACAACTATTAACTCTTTTCTGTCGTCTGGTTTCTTGAGACTACACTACCATACACTGTACAAACACACACACACACAGTGACACACTGAAAAAATGTTGAGCTTTTGCACTAAGATTTGAGTGAAAGACAGATCTAATGTACTCCCGATAGTTTTCAAATTTGAAGCCTGTGTCTTTATTTCTAAACAAGTTATATTCTAGGACAAAATAACATGTATTGTATCATTATTAGGGTAAAACATAAGGAATTGAATTGGACGTAGGAAACAATGATTGTTTTCAATACAACTACAAGTACATGTTGAATCTGAGTGCACTGATTTGGTCAGCTTTACAAAAAGAAAGCCCAGTCTAAGAGAAAATGTTTAGACTGAATACGGAAACAGGTACAGAAGTGCTTGAGTGACATCTGCAGTGTTTTAGTAGAATTTCCGCCTTCCCCTGCCTCGTCCCCGTGACCTTCGACCTCGGGAGGAACCATAACCACCCACATTCCAGGGTAGACTGAATTCTCTGGATGGAGGGACAGAAAAACAGCTCTAAGTCATAATATAACAAGGAAAGGGTACATAAAAACACTAACACATACCCCCTGTATTACTTCTTACTTAGAGTTAGAGACACTGGAATTGAATATGATATTGAGAACTTGGAAAAAGTAATGCTTGGCTATATAAAAGTTATGCTATGTAAAATAAGTAGCTGTTATAGTAACAGTAATTTGATATCTATACATAATATAATATACATTTAGTACATGTACATGTATATTTAGATTTAGATTATACCAGTGCAATAGCTCAATTGGTAGAGTGCTCGCTTTGTAACCGGGAGGTCGTGAGTTCAAACCCCGGCCGGGTCATACCAAAGACTTTAAAAAATGGTACACACTTCTTTCTCTGCTTAACACTCAGCACATATGAGAAAGAGTGTGGGAAGGTCAAACACACAGCAATACCAGCAGGCTAGCCCCCTGCTGTAGTGCCCTGCACAACTGTGTGTTGCCCAAGGGCTACGGAAATGGACATGGGCACCAAACCCTATGCTCTGCATAGAGCACGGGAGACATGTATACCTACATAGTAAATAGTACATGTACATGTTTTGTATGTGTGACACAAACCCAGAAAATTTAGCTCCGCACCCACCTTTTGGTGATAGAGGGTAGGGGCTGCCCAAAAGCTACCACTGGAACTGTGTCTCCTACCTCTACATAATCCACTGTGGACAGACAACATCATTCAACAGTTACACACAATACTAGTCAGTAGTGTGTAGCTACATAGAAAATTCAGGTCCAGATCTGGATCAGGTTCAGAGGATCAGGTCCAGGTCCGGACCTAAACCTGGACCTGATTATTGTACAATAGTACTACATGTATATCATATTTTGGAGCGCGAAACACGAGTACGTGTCACTCACTAGTATATTATATTCAACTTGTACAATCATATAATATTGTGTATATTGAAGCTGAACAGTTACAAAAAGAGACAAACATGGATTAAGGCCAATCTAGTTTGATTCAGGGTTATTTTCTTTACCTGCCATGGCCAGAATATCTAAAGATGTGTGTACAATCTACAAAAACGTACATCAGGTCCGATGATCCAGTTTTCGCGTTTCGTTTTTTTGGACTCGGTTCCCAAATGTTGTTTTTAAACCGGTCTGGCTGAACCGGTATCCACCCCTACTAGTCAGTCATATCCCAAACAAATCTATAATCAACAGAATATCAAATCCTGTATGCCTCAATTTAAAGACAAACCAATGAAGCTATGCACTGCACTTGTCATTGGTACAATCCATTTTTTGCTACTACATGAAGTAGTATTTCTGTACTTGACCAATGTAGATGCTTACTTTCTGTCCAAAATCATAATACTGTATGTAATTAGACCTGTACATATTATTAGGACTACCTTTGAATGCTATGAAGGGCTCGGAATTCATTTTTGGGAATAGGTGCACCATATAAAATAAAATAAGTAGAATGTCAGCAAAAACAAAAGTGTTTCATTTCTAAAGCAAAGTAGTACAAGTAGACACTTAGATGTTAAAAATATGCTGTATACTACTACTAGTATACATTTAACATCTTTACATATGTAAACTTACGAAAATATTTGGGCGAAAAAATTGGGTGCACATAGTGATGCATACCTAAACCCAATTTTAGGTTCAGGTCCGGATTCATGTCCAGAGGTTTAGGTTCAGTTCCAGACTTGTAAGTCCGGACCTAAACCCATGGCATATACAAAATTGCATGTTGGCAACCTTGTTGTCTGGGTGAAACTTTGGCCACATAACATGGAGGCTGGTACTTGACGATGCCCGATGGCAATGTTTTCTTCGTTTTGCAGCAACGATTTTACAATCTATGGAAGGTTTTAGGTGGTTTGGAAAGAAAAGGGGTATGTGAAATGGTCTTTTTAGGTAATAACTCCGGACTCGGTTCTTGACTTTTTGGACTTGAACCTAAACATTCTTACAAGTCCGGATCCAAGTCCAGTGAACCGGTATGCATCACTAGGTGCACAGCTCCAACATTAGGAGCACATGCACCCAGTATTTCGAGCCCTGCAATGTTAAGAAGAAGAAAGAACTTGGATACAAACCATCTTCAGGTTCAGGAAAGAAGGAGCCTATGGTTGGCTGGACCCAGATATTGTCACTGTTGCACTTCTTCATCATGTTTCGCATCAGCAGCTTTTCATACTGACGTTTCTCTCGGATTCTTTGGATGTCCCATCTGAAAGTTGCAATACCCAAAACATTGTTACTGAAGCACATTGTTACTGAAAGTTAGCTGAGTCGTTGCTGAAATCACCGACCTACAGAAACTGGTTGCCACCTTGCCGCGAGGCTATATCCGGCAGGACGACCAGGTCTAGCAAACAGCTACAAACTCTCAGACACAGAACTGTCCGATTCACTAAGAGCTCTATATACTATTTGACAAAGTTGCTGAACGATACGCAAGTTCTGTAACATACTGGTTGTTGTACTGGCCGAACAGGCTTTTCGTACTTTTGATATTGTATTTTTTATGTATATTGAAGTCTCAATTGATAATATTCTCAAGATTTTAAATTGTAAAAAAGTCTACAATTCAGCCATTTAGGCTGCCACCGACTTTTAAATCTGTATGTCTATGTATTTGTTTATGTGAATAATAAACCAGTCATCATCATTATCATCATCACATGTAAGTAGACTATCAAAAAGTGATTTCTTATCTCCACAAGTATCTTTTTATATTGCATTATATGTTTGTACTATACAGCCAAAGCAGACATTGTGACGTACACATTGATACATGGTGCAGTACCATGGTCTATGACAAACAAAAGGAACCTCTAACCTTTTTCTTTTCTTCTCGTCTAACTCCAATTTTTGGTGTCTTCGGTTGTATGCATCATCACTGATGTCCTGTAAAATAATGGTGAACATTGAAGCAAATTTTATGTCTTAATATTTCTAAAATTATAAGATTCTTTCCCTTTTTTTCTGGATGCACTACTAACTCTGTAGCTTCTAAAATTTCTTACTGGTTCATTTTTTGTGCTTAACAACTGTATTCTGAGACTGAGAGTTGGAAGTACATGTACGCAATTTTGCAACTCCTCCACGTACCTCAACAAAGTCTTTTTCATCTAAGGATGAAGTTGTCAGGTTGTTCACTCTCCATGGGGGCACTGGAAAGAAGGAAAATAATTGAATACAATGTAAATATGCCAGCATTAGTGCCTACGTCAAGAATTTCCACCATTCAACTTATTTCAACTCTTAAAATTTCTTCATTTTTCAAGCTGATCAACCTTTTCTGGCTTTCTCATCTAAAATTTGAGTGATGAAACATTGTACAATTACCTTTTCAACATTGACATCAAAAATAGAAGTTTGCTCATGCAAGTATTACTTTGTTAAAACTTAGTCACAACCTACCGACCCTAATTTTTTTTTCAGGACTGAAACAGGAAACACATATTTTTTCTTAGGCCTAAGCACTATTACTCACAGTGCAGATCATCCTTGGAGATTTTCTGTGGAGTTTTGACAGTTAGTACTGGTGATGGTGGAGCCTGGTGTAGGGAGCTGTAGTACTCCATAGATGTTCTCATTATCCCATCATTTCTGTCCTCCTGTGAGCTACCCCGACCGTCCACAGTTCTACCCCTGACTTCATGAGACTCCTTTATTTGTGATCGATGGGAAAAGTGAATCGCTCGCTTGATCTTCTTCGCTGCAAGTCTTCTGCCAAACGATGAACTATCCTGAAATGATCTGTGAAATCAGGTACAAGAGAATTAGAAGGAATGTGAGAGTGAGTTGGATTTGTATCAACACAAAATGCATAATCAGGACATTTTTGAAATATGGTAAAAGAAACATCATATGTACAGTAATTTGCCAGCAAATGTCTTTAATGTCCCCACCTTTATCATTTGTTATCATTTGTTTACTAGATCTATAATTTCTTTAATATTTATTTTAAGCTTGAGCCATCCATTTTGACTAAACATTTTTTTGATCACTTAAATTCATACTCCTCTTTCCAAGCCACCTAAAACCTTTCATAAATTGCAAATTCTGTGCTGCAAAATGAAGAAAACATTGCCATCGGGCATCGTCAAGTACGGGCCTCCATGTTATGTGGCCAAAGTTTCACCCAGACAAGATTGCAAGGTTGCCAACATGCAATTTTGTATATGCCATGGGTTTAGGTCCAGACTTACGAGTCCGGAACTGAACCTAAGCCTCTGGACTTGAATCCGGACCTGAACAACCTAAATGTGGCTTTAGGTACACAGCACTAGGCACAAACAAACAAACAAACAAACCTTTTGACCCCTCTCCTGAACGGCTGGGACTCTCTGCTGGTGCTGGGTTCTGATGACAACATCAGCGGAGAGGAGCAGGAGGAGGCGGGGCTCATGGACGACACGGACGGCGCCGCTTCCCGTTTCACCAGCGACATGCGCCGCTCCATACGCTCCAGACGACATTGCAACTGACGAGGGAGGGAAGAATATGAAGTTTTCATGAGACAGTTTCTTCAGCAGGCATGTTTGTTTGTTTGTATGTTTGTTTCGCATTACTGGCAAACCACCTTTTAGGCATAACACCAGTTTTGTACATGTACATGTACAAGCTGTGTAAGACCGGACTTTAATGTTTGAACCACTCACACTGGGAGGAACCCTACTCTTTTCAATAAGTGTGGTGGGACAGGGTTCTTTAACATGCGTGGGGTGTGGCTGTCCCCAAACACAGGACCTTCATTTAACGCCCTATCCGAGGGACGTCCCTAACCAAAGCTAGGTACTCATTTCCACCTGAGTCACGTGAGGAAAGATCGGTAGCATAGGGCAGGATTCAAACCCACGACCTCTTGGATCTGAGCCGAACACTCTACCATTATGCCAAACATTCTATGTGGCCCAAATGGTTTGATGTTGTCCTGATAACGATGTTGTTTTTACATCTACCCATACTGCCCAGAGCCACCCAGAATGCAATGGCACTTGTGAAATGGACTATGGGAGATATTTTCTCCATCATGGTTTGCTGCGGTTTGTTCTATTTGGAGGACAAGGGGTGCTTCAGTCTTTATAGGAGGGACTAATTTTACTATCAAAAAATTATCACCCTTTGAAGTTTCATCCTCAGGCACAGTATAGAGTCAAAAAGGACCAAATACATTTATGCCCAGAACATGTGTGAGATCACCAATTATTCCAATAGAAGCACTTCAATTTCCTTCCAAATGGGCTATAAATCCCCAGAGGGAATGTCCAGACAGTTTTTGCAAAGTTAGGTAAAACTGTGTGTAATGTTAGCAACTGTCAGCTACATTTTGGCATAACTTGCCTAACTAGTTGCTCCTTCTGTACTATAAACCAAAAAACTATACTGACTGAGAGTAATAATATTTCAGTTCTGTAGTATCACTATCAGGACAGGTGATTTTCTTCATATCATTATAGATTATACTGGCCTTTGCTCTTGAACTCTATGTACACTACATCAATAGTTATCAACAACCCCCACAAATTATGGTAGGTCCCAAAAAGTAGTCAGGTGACAAGTCTGGACCACACCATAATATTCACTTGAGTGATGATTTTCATTCAAATCAAAGATTCTGCCCAGTGTGCTTATCATATCAATATTCCAAATACAACAGTGAAAATCAAATATTTTGTGTTCAGCATATGGTGCGGAAATTGTTACGTTTGATATATTTTGTAAATATGTTGAAATAAAAGTGCTGTTGCTTTGAACCCCCTAAAATCCAACGTGGTTTTGCCCTATCGAATTGCATAGCCACGATGTGCGTCGGAGAGCCAACGTCATTTCAGCTACTTTGGCTCAGAGCAAGCACTTAGATCCAAGTACCATCCCAAAAAACTAGCCTTCTGTCTCGTCTCTTAGACAAACATCGAAATGTCCAGTCAAAATATATCTGGGTCACCGGAAGTGGATATCGCACGAACCGGAAGTGGCCGTTTTCCATCGTCACACAGTAGAAAAACAATGCGATGTGTGGCCACGCTCGGGCAACAATGGGCTCACGAAAGTCAACACACAACCACTAGACAACCTCAAAATCTTACAGAACGTTATTCCTATGTCCTCCCACATCGGAAATCCATGATGTCCCCGTATTCCTGTGACCCAATCAATGATGCGGACTGCGACCGAATTTCAAATGGTTGGTAAAGCCGGCCATGTTGGAAGCACAGACGGGATTTCGTTAAATTCCCCCTTCGCAAACACAACAAACCTGCGATAAAGATCACTTTTGGGTCAGAATTACTCCCCCAAAATGTCATAGAAACAGGTTACTGAGGTGTAAATAACGTTATGATAGGGATAAATGCTATAATGAGCGAGCCCGTGGCTACTAAACCAGCTGGCATGATCGGAGCAGTTGGAAATTCTACTGCCACCGGCCATGTTGGAAAATGGTTGGGTTTGTTTCCAACACCGATCTGACCACATATACACCCCTACACACTCAGACCAAACGACACTTTGACAAATATATCATAGATCTCTGAGAAAACTAGGATCTTGAGACTCACAGCTTCTTTGTCTTCCCTCTCTTTTGCTAATTGCTTCTCCTTCTGTTGAAGTTGTTCTTGCTGCTCTTGGATGAGGTCGAGGTGCAACAACAAAAGCTCCTTTCAATTG